TGGTCATGTTGCTTATTATATCAGGGTCCTTCGGTTTTTCCCTCCATATTAAAAAAAATGCGTTTAGAGTGTTTGGCTACTATAAATTTCCACATAAGCTAGGTCATTGAGTGATCATTTATGCCCAGGTCGCATCTGAAAAAGAGCTATATAGCTCAGGCGGTTTTACCTGGTAAAATTAAAACAGCATAGTTTTTTTCACAGTCGTCAAATAAAATGCAGGCCTTGGGGATGTGATTGTATTTGTTCAAAATATCACATCTCACAAAGTTTTCCAGGGACTTTAAGAAACATTGGAAACATACATAATTCTAAATGCGTATGCATAACTGTAGCGCATCAGAAATTTCTGCAAAACAGCAAACAGTGTAAGCGCTGTACACCAATTAACAGAAAGAACTATTCAGGAAGAAATTACGATGGTATTTATGAAAATGTTTTCAATTGCAGACCTTACTTTCTATGAAAAGGTCCTTTATATTTACTTAAATCTTGGAAATTAAAACAAGGCCTTCAGTTGTTAGGCACTTATTTTTCTAAATGTCTGCCAAATTGGTATCTAAATGAAAATATAAACCCAAATTAGGGTGTGACTTTCTAACAACAACAAAACAAATCCAACATGCCAAATAAACAACCGACCAGCATCCGTTAATTTATCATCTTGCTGTATATAATGTTCGGTGCCTTTCAAGTCACCACCTCTGCATGCACTGGAACTCAACACTGAATGTCCCCCAGTGGATGTTCTAAAGACCTGGGCTGTGCCTTTTGGCGTCATCTGGTCCAACCCATGTGAGACTAGGCTCTAAGGAAAGCTGTCTCGGGTGTGGACCAATCAACTTCAAGGACAGTGCAATTTATCAGAGTTATGTTCTTTTGTTTGTATTATGACTGCTGGTATTGCGGTCTATGCAAACATGACTCCTTGTAAAAAGGTGTCAGTTTTGTTGCCAGATAGAAGGGTAAAAAACCGATTATCATATTTTTACTGGCAAATGAGGTTCCCATAGACCTGGGCTGCATTTTCTGAAATTCTGACGGTTACTCGCCAACTTGAGGGCATGCACGGAAACAACAGCATAGGTAGGACCCCACCACTTTGCCAAATCAGTTTGTTCGTCCAGTCTAAGAGCTGACCACACGTCTGGGCACAGAGTCTGTGGGTGACCAACTGTGGTATACGAAGTGCTGAGGTGCAATGACATTGTAAGCCAAAATTGAGCTTAAGTGGAAAATATCATACAATATTACAGGAAGGAATAAGAAACTGCTGAGTTCCCAATAGTTCTTTGCACAACCTTGCGGAAAAAAACATTACCAGGTTTTTTTTCCCCCTCAATTTTTTCACGCCCAAAACTTTAGTGATAGTTTTGATATGGTATCTGTTATGCGCTTTTCCAAACAACCGATTATCCAAACCAAGAGGGCATATCTCATGACAGACTTACATAAAATTAAGGGTCAAACGTAAGTCAATACTGCAATTACCAGCAGCAGTGAGTAAATACATCATTCTGAGCTGGCCCGGAGTTAGATGGCTCTCCTTTATCAGTGTCAAAGCAACCTTTTCATGCCAAGATGCAGCCTATTAGGCAGTAACTACGATGCCCACACACACAATCGCCAGCCACTCCGTGCCACATCTCAGAAGCACCTTCTCACCTATACAACTCGTTCTTCATCTTTACCACTAAGGTCTTAATTGATTAGATACATAAACATATTGTCATAGGTATTACTGTAGGTTATGACTACGGTATTAACAAGCTGATGAATTGTGTTTGAAATATGGTTAGAGGACAATTGAGGTCGTCAATAAGTGTCGTGGTAGCCATGTGGTTATCAAACTGTACTACAAACCCTGATATTTGATTCCAGGCCACGGCTAACATCAGTGATGAGTGATATGTAAATTGGTTCTGGACAACACCATAACGTCACCAACCTACCTCTGACGAGTGTGGTGAAGTATGGTCACAGTATGCCCATGACGACGATGCATCAGGTCTCCATCCATGAAGACAAATCGCTGTAACTTCAATAAACAATTCCTAATTCTTTGAGTTACAAGATGAATGACATTTTTGACAATTCCTGTATTGCAAAGTATTCTGCACATATTTCAAAATTGAAACGTCACGTGAAGTAATGCTACATATCCTATAAGCAACAATTTATATGCAAAATAGTATAAATGCAGTAGAAGCATTTCCCTATACATATTCCACTTGCAATTAAAGGCATTCCACCATTTTCTGTATGACTAAGTGGAGCGCAAGCTTGGAATTACATTGAAAGACAGAAAGAAGAACACGTGGATTAGAGAACACAAGCAAGTCGGAAACATCATATTGGCAATTAAAAAAGTATACGTTTAGGCTGGACACGCCGCCAAAAGGAATGACGACTAGACTAACGTTGAAGTTTCAGCCAAAGGATGGAACGCACCCAAAAGGATATCAATCACAGGAGGTGGAGAGATTAAATCAGTTCATGTGGACACACTCGATGGACTGTCATCAACCCATACGGTTTACCCGTATTCTTGTATAGCGAAATTGAGTTCGGGTCTATACGGCGTATAGCCGTTTCAATACAGGCAACATTTTGTCAATTTGTTTGTGTTGAGATTTACAAGGGCACGGAGTGACCAATAAGGTCTGAATTTGTCTGTAATAAAGTAGGCACTGATAAGGGTTTGACAGATATGCAAGACTGTGAGAGATGGCAACGGTTCAGCAGTGGATAGAACATGTCTGATGATGATGATGGGGAATGCATTGAACGAATGTCTGTTTATAGCGTATGCTCTCCACTATACTGGATTGAACTGCGAATTTTGAAACATGAGCTTAAAACAATGAAATCTGCAGATGCTCCCTCTTACTTATTTGCTTAACTCCTCTTCTTAAAGAATAATAAACCCGGCTGTGTGTGTTTTTTTTGTAAACGTCCGTCAGCAAGCAATGGCACGCATAGTGGGTCCCATTCATACCAGATCTGCATTATGGCAGACAACACTCTGCACCCATACATTAGCATTCCGCACACAATTGCTTTAACAAACCAAATGTTTCTACGCATGAGGGATAACTGCGTGGCATGTTGATCGCCAGCACAACGCCACAATCAAAATCTATTAATCGCCGTACCTTGCACGCACCAAAATTCAATTAGCAACATACATGTGTAAATTAAAGTATTTTGTTTGGTAAGAGAGAATCGTAACATTTTCTGCAGTTTTATGAGGACATTCAGCCACATCTTGCGTTTAAAGCCCTCTTAGGAGGTTACAAATACAGTGAACACTTGCCCATTGTTAAGTGACCAGGTAAATGCAATAAAGGTACCATTTAAATCCCACACATTGTCAATGGCATCTACCAAGGACATTAATGCTTTGAAATGTTGACCCAATGAATGGATGACGACACATTTTATAGATTTCTAAAACACAAAAGACTGCGGATACAAACGGTCGATATAGGTAAAGTGAGTGTACATTTAACCTTGTTATGTGTTTAATAATAACTTACTTAAGCAGAAAAAAACACTTTCAACGTGACCTAATAGCCCTTATCAAAGTATGCAAAAGGCATTCACTAGACTACCGGGGGACCACACGCACAGGCATTATATTGCATGGAAACATAAACACAGTATATCCATGCAAATACATACTTACAACAGATCGCGGTTGAAGGCAGTGCGCACAGACATGGGGGGAGGGAGCATGTAAGTTGAGTACAACAATCGATTTGTGTTGGAGTATCCATCTCCCCTGCTGTCTTCACTACTTTGTCCCAAAGTGTGGCCACGTCGTACGCGTTTCAACACTGTAGATGCTTTGTGCATATGAACTAATATTGAGCTTAGACTAAACCGTAGCATCTTCCCTAACCCCATCTCTGTCAAGTTTCACTTCACATATTGAATCATTTATTGGAAAATCATGGCTGTAAACGCTTCGTGAGATCATATGGTATGACACACGCTTTAGAGCAACCATTCTAAATGTATGGATTCCTGGGCTTGTAAATACGAAGCTGGTTTAGCTCGAGGGTTAATGTTATAGAGCTGTGACCTTGTGCAATCTGTGAAAAGTAAAAACTTTAACGTTTAGCTTTTGCAGTTTGGTCTTGCAGATACTATCAACGTCATGGACAGATCACAGATACCGTGGTTAACACTTATTATACATAAAACCTTGATATTTACGATTGTGTTATACATTTTTTTATCTTAAGAGATATCTCAAACTTTGATATGTAGTTAAAACTTGATTTAAAGCTTTCGTGACTGCAGGGATTCATATTTTTGGTTCTTTCGGTAAAGTCACGTAGAAGGGAAATAATAAAATAATATTAATATAAAGCAATCTTTATTGTTTTTATTGCGTTATATAAATATTATTTTATTATTTCCCTTCTACGTGACTTTACCGAAAGAACCAATAATATGTAGTTAAAACGTATTTGTTAACATCTGGTCGTCATGCCTTACCTAACGTCTCTATCTCGATTAAAGCGACATCCTATCAACGAGGTCTCGCATGCTTATAAAGTTAACGATTTACACACACACAACGATCCCTGTATAACATTGACAGACTATAGGGGCAAGTGTTGTTAGCGAGCACCTATTAAGGCCGGCAGGGCACACGAACGGCAGCGTGGCCAGCACCACGCCCGGCCGCGTTTGTCTCCCCACGTGGCGATGGTTTACACACCGCACCACGTACTCATTTAACGCCGAGTCGACCTAGTGTGAGGCCCAGGACCGGTTCAGATAATCGTCACTGGGACTGGCATTGGTGGCCGTGAGCAGGAATCGAACCTGGATCGCCGGGTTCGTAACACATTACACTAACCACTACTACACATTACACACAGATGCACAAACAACAGTTTAAGAGCACAAAACATTGCAACGTGGATATCAAAGCTTAACAAGAAACGTGCGTAACATGGAGTCCGAACTGTGTGTGGGTGTGTTACCTTTGACTTGCATCTCAAAGTCTGCCATGATGTCCTTTTCCTTCTTAAATTTCGGCGCCGAAGTCATCGTTGCTGTGTGGGTGGTGGTGGTGGTGGTGTGGGCCCTATCTTAGCTTCTTATATTCTACGAAACTTCTCCGGGCACCTTTCGCGAAACGTCGCCCTTCTTTCTCCTATTCTTCTACATGTAAGATTGTACGTGTGTGTGTTGTGTTGTACGTGTGTTGTGTTGCTTCCCAAGTGTGCTATTAAAGTGTCCTCCACAGATTTTTTGCCGGGCTCGTTCGCTCTCCCTTTTTTGTGTGTGTGTTGCAAAGTCTGCCCCCCGCTTGCTAAGCCTGCCTGCCTGCCGCCCCCTTTCGTCCTGGGGAAACGGAGTAAGAAATAAAGAAATAACTCCAAATCAAATAAACACAAAAGGAAGGAGGGTGACGACGATGAGCTTTCAATGTGGAGGTTCCCAGCCCCCCCTAGAGCTCGAACAGGGATTACTCAGGAATCTGAGTCCTTGAACCAAGCGACGATGATGCTGTTGATGATGATCGTGGACATTATTACGTGATTAATGTGCCTCCATCGAGAACGTGTCTTCTCCTTTATAACGTGGTTCTTATGTGCCCTGTGTAGTTGCCGTCGACTGTAGTATATTTATATTCGTGGTGGCTGTCGTGTTTATTGTGGGCTAGTGGTGGTTCTAAGCGTGTATCGTATCGTGTATCGTATCTGTGTATCTAGCACGAACGTATTGGCATCATTGTCTGTGTATTATATTAAGCCAGTGTATGTAAACGAATCCGTATAGCTTGAATAATGTAGTTCACTATAGATTGTATGTAGTTACTACAGACTGTTAGTGCGGGAATAAACGAGTGCGAAATTGTCTGTGTACTACCACTATATTCTGTGTATACTGCAGTCTATTTATATTATAGAGTATAGATAATATTGTATGTGCACTATAGTATCTAGGTGTAATGTTAACTACGTATTGTATCTCTGGCAATGTTTATATCATGTGGGTTAGGTCTGCTATAGTATGAATACAGGATGTGTGTGTATACTGTAGTGTCGTCTAGGTTCTCTACACTATTGTGAGTATTGTAGCTTATAATGTACTTGTATATGTGGACTATCGGGTGTGTAGAATGTATATTATGGGTGTAGAATGTTCGTGTATTGTGTTTAGTGTTTGGAAGTTGTATAGCGTGCGTGTGTAATGTGGATGCTGAAATGTGTATAAGTAATTCGCATGTGCGTACTCTGTGTAATGTTTGCTATGTGTACGTGAATACCAGCGTTTAATTGTGAACAGTGTGTATAATGCCCTGCAGTGTACTTTATTAAATGTCCTAGAGTCCACGTGTAATGGGTATGCTATGTGCGCAAGCTATTTTTCAGTATGCACGTGTATATTATAGTAGTGGGTATAGCGTGTATAGCATGTACTATAGTAGTGGGTATAGTGAGTGTGTTGTATGTTGTACTACAGTGTAGACGTGTGTTGTATGTTGTACTACAGTGTAGACATGTATTGTACTACAGTGTAGACGTGTGTTCTACTACAGTGTGGACGTGTGTTGTACTACAGTGTAGACATGTGTTGTATGTTCTACTACAGTGTAGACGTGTGTTGAATGTTCTACTACAGTGTAGACGTGTTCTACTGCAGTGTAGACATGTGTTGTATGTTCTACTAGTGTAGACGTGTGTTCTACTACAGTGTAGACATGCGTTGTATGTTGTACTACAGTGTAGACGTGTTTTATGTTGTACTACAGTGTAGACGTGTGTTCTACTACAGTGTAGACATGTGTTGTATGTTCTACTACAGTGTAGACGTGTGTTCTACTACAGTATAGACATGTGCTGTATGTTGTACTACAGTGTAGACGTGTGTTGTATGTTCTACTACAGTGTAGACGTGTGTTCTACTACAGTGTAGACATGCGTTGTATGTTCTACTACAGTGTAGACGTGTGTTCTACTACAGTGTGGACGTGTGTTCTACTACAGTGTGGACATGCGTGTATCGTGGGTGACTGTGGAGGCCGCCTTTTCTGCGCTCAACCCCGGACCCCGCATCTCGTCCCACCTCCTCCTCCTCTACCGCCGCCGCCGAGGGCTCTCGCTTATCCCGCTGCCTGTGCCGCCTCACAGGGAGACGACGACGAAGCGGAAGAAGAGGAGAGAGAGAGATGAGTGAGAGGAGAGAGAAACACAGAGGACAGAGGAGGCGGCTGCTGAGCCGCAGAGGAGCTCCCGTCAGTGTCGCCAGGCGGACATCGCAGCCCTGCCCCGCGTGGCATGCCGGGACACGGGGCCGTTGGGGGGGAGTGGGGGGGGGTTGGGGGGGAGTGGGGGGGGGCAGTGGGGGGGGGAGTGGGGGGGGGTGGGGAGTGATCGGGGGGGGTTGGGGGAAGTGATCGGGGGGGTGGTTGGGGGGAGTGGGGGGGGGGGCGGTGGGGCGGTGGGGGGGGTTGGGGGGGGTGGGGGGGGTTGGGGGGGGTGGGGGGGGTTGGGGGGAGGCGGTGGGGGGGGGGGTTGGGGGGGGGGGAGTGGGAGGGGTTGGGGGGGAGTGGGGGGCGGTGGGGGAGTGATCGGGGGGGGGGTTGGGGGGAGTGATCGGGGGGGGGGGTTGGGGGGAGTGGGGGGGGGTTGGGGAGGTTGGGGAGGTGGGGGAGTGGGGGGGGGCGGTGGGGGGGCGGTTGGGGGAGTGGGGGGGGTTAGGGGGGTGATTGAACGACTCAAATGAAAGTGAATGAAATGAATTAATAACGACTCGAATGAATGGATTTGATGAATAGTGCTATTATTGGCGATAGAATTAGCGTTGTTGACTAGAGGGGGGTTTGGGGAGGGGGGGCATGACTGCGAAGGATGTAGATGAAAGGGAATGAGTTGGTGAGGGAATGAGTTGATGTGAGGGAATGGATGAGAGGGAGTTGATGAGAGGGAATGAATTGATGAGAGGGAATGAGTTGAGAGGGAATGAGTTTATGAGAGGGAATGGATGAGGGAATGAGTTGGTGTGAGGGAATGGATGAGAGGGAGTTGATGAGAGGGAATGAGTTGATGAGAGGGAATGTATTGATGAGAGGGAATGAGTTGAGAGGGAATGGATGAGGGAATGAGTTGATGTGAGGGAATGGATGAGAGGGAGTTGATGTGAGGGAATGAATTGATGAGAGGGAATGAGTTGAGAGGGAATGAGTTGATGAGAGGGAATGGATGAGGGAATGAGTTGGTGTGAGGGAATGGATGAGAGGGAGTTGATGAGAGGGAATGAATTGATGAGAGGGAATGAGTTGAGAGGGAATGGATGAGGGAATGAGTTGATGTGAGGGAATGAATTGATGAGAGGGAATGAGTTGGTGTGAGGGAATGAGTTGGTGTGAGGGAATGAGTGGATGAGAGGGAATGAGTTGATGAGGGAATGAGTTGATGAGGGAGTTGATGAGGGAATGGATGAGGGAATGAGTTGGTGTGAGGGAATGAGTTGATGAGAGGGAATGAGTTGATGAGGGAATGGATGAGGGAATGAGTTGGTGTGAGGGAATGAGTTGTGAGAAGGAATTGATGAGGGAATTCTGAATGGATGAGAGGTGTTTGAAGGAGGCATTCGCGAGGGAATTAATTAGAAGGAATTAACGGACGAGGGAATGAATGCGTATGATACAATGCATTGAAGGGGGATTTACACAACGTGAATTAATGATTGAGGGAATGATTAATTGTTATAAAGGAATGTATGGCAGGGACTTTATACAGATTTAATAATACATGAGGTAATTACAAAAATAACGAAACGAATGAATTGCGAATGAGATCATTAATTAGGGCACTGATGAATGGGGGAACTCATGGATGTGAGAATGGATAAACAACACAAACTAGAGGAAATGAATTATTCAAATGAAATGAGGGAATCAAGGAAATGTAAACATCAAATGGAGAGATCAGCTAATCAGGGGGATGAGTGGCTGTAAGGAAAGTAAAGAGACATGGAATTTGGTGGCAATGTATGATATTAAAATGTGAGGGATTTAATTGGTGCAGCATTGCATTGAAAATGATGAATACGGTGATTGTGGAGATGCGGGTGACGTCATCACGCAGACGTGCGCGGTGACGTCACAGCGCAATTGCCCACCCGTACAGGCGCCAGCCAGCCAGCCAGCCAGCAAACATTTTTTTTTAAAGTCTTCTAATAAAGTATGAGAACCATCGACTGTCTAGCTATATTTTTTTCACCTGAGGACGATTGCTTGTGTTGCGATCGAAACGTCGTGATTTTTTACAATTATTTTTCTATCTACGTGACTTTACCGAAAGACTTTCTCAAAGGAAGTTGTTGCAGGGTCAACACTCAACACAGGATGCTGTATAAACATTCGTAACAAATTATGGAAAGAAATACGGTGGCAAAACCCAGTCAACATGGAACGTTGGGCCAACGGTTCCAACCACATGCCAACATTGGCCCAAAGTTGACTGAAAGGGCTGTTACAGGGTCAACACTCAACCCACAGTGAATTTACATCTCCCTGTCCAGTTATTTTTTTCCCCTCCACGAAAAAGCTTACCTTTTAGGTGACCCAACGATTTAAAAGAAATCTCGCGTACATCGGCATCGTTTTTGGCACGAAAAACTCATTAAAAGCAACAACATCGATGTGTCGAATTTTATTGGTGGAGTGGACATCGATATCAGAAGCATTTATATACCGGGAAAAAAACATTGCCCATTCATTCCTTAGATGCGTAATCATCGCTACAGGAGGCAATGGATGTGGGTGGGGAATTTATGAATTCTCAAGATGTGGGCAGGGGCATTACGGGATATGTTACAACGGCGATGATAATTGGATTATGATTATTATTGATATTTAGATGAGATTTAGATGTGACGATTATGATATGAACTGGAAATTATAAACGGTGATAAGTTCATGGTCTAGTACTTGCTATGATTATATACTGCTACTACACAATTTATTCTATATATAACGAGTTGCATCAAATATACCTACATGCACATACAGTTTTGATGTGCATAATCCATAACAATACGAGGTTAAGGCCACATTTTTGTATAAATGCCCACGGCAATCAGGATTATTTATAAACACATGTTTGCTTCCTGGAAACAAAGTCCATTATTGGACCGCACATCTCGGCTCCTCTCCACAAACCCGCACTGACCAGCGTGGTGAAGTATGGTTAATTAACCTCCACAATCTGCATGGCACGAGTAGGCCCTCATCCAGCAGTGTAAAAGTCAAAACCCCTTTCTCCTTAGCTCACGTAATATACACACATTGTGCCTCTCATACCCATTTCCGTGCGCGTGTATTGTTTGTAATAAATCACACGTAATTTTCTTTACTATATTTAACAGAGTCCTAGTAATTTCAAGATACCAAGAGGGCCGTCACCAGACCACCACAAGCACGTGTTGCCGGGGCCAACATTGCGGCTCTGGCCTGCCTTAGAGATCCGCCCTAAGGGGATTCCACAGCGTGGAAGGCTTCCCAACCCTGCCACAAGGTCAAGCCGGCAGCGCCTTGACCTTCCTCTAACCTTACAGCAGCAACAGCAGGGCCACTCATTCGAGTTGGCTCAGGGAAAGAAAACAAATCGGTGGCAATTGGTGCTGAAGCCCCCAACCGACTGCCATTTGGATGGTACGATCGCAGCTAGGCCATTTTGCATCGAAACACCATCATCTACATTTACAAGCTAATTAAATGTTGCACCGTGCGGTGCTTTATCAGTGACATTTTTGAAAGCATGGTTGGCTATGTATGGTGCGAGAGAAGTTCAATGTACGTGGGGGTTGACTGACCAGGTCTCATCGGTCTGCTCAATGCAGGTTTGTGAAAGGGATCCACAGTACTAGTTCACGTTGACACTGGCCCAGAATCGAACTCGGGTCGCTAGGTTAATCCTGCTATGCACTAACCGCTTAATTAAAAAATTGTATGCGGGGGAAAAAAGTCATTTCAGGTATTTCATGCAACCAATTTCAGCCAGGTCTGTTTTAGCCAGTAACCCAGACAATATTTACCCACATCTGCACACCACATCCAGTATACCTCTCGTAGTTATTAGTCACACGCCTACCCAGTTGACGAGAGACCTGGAACATATCTAGTAAGAAGGTCCTGGGGTATAAGTCAAGATACAGTATGTGGAATGTAAGGGAATTTAATATCTTAAAAGTCCTCAACCTTTACACAAATAACGTTAGTTTTTGAAAAATTTGACAGCCCATGTACATTTTTTTGAAGAAAAATGGCCTTAAAGTAATTTTATCGACTAAATATTTAACTCTCGAGATGATTAAATTGTAATCAATAACTGACATTCATCAACCATAACCAACCCACTGCTGGAAGCTCTCTCCACACCTCTCGTGGTCCCGAAATTAAATACTTGACACAGGGAATTCAAGAGCAGTTCCAGTATGTTTTTGTTTTTTACGAATTGGTAAACACATTTGAATATACAATATGCTTCTGATATGATGCACTGGATTGTGCTATAGATAGAGAGATCTGAATGGACATAATACGTAATTCAGCTGTTAGGACTTTTTTGTGTGCTAAATTCTACAATTAAAATATGCAGACGTTTTCCCCCCCCCCCCCCCCCATCTGAAATTAGGTCACATTCAACTCCCTATATCAATGAAATGGGACGCGAACGAAAAAAGGAACTAGAATTATCCGTCACATTCGTAAGGACTTGATAGCTATGTGACAAAGCCATTGAGATTATGGGGTGTTTTGGGTATCCCATGGGAGGCTTTTTCTGATAAAAAGGGAATTTCTACATTTCAAATTGGAAATAAAAGCCTGTGCCAGGGTATCGAATGGGGCAGATTGACATCCCCGCAGAGAGATCAAAGTCCTTCAGTTTTTTTCATCCTTCCAGTTGTATTATATATTCTACTGTACATTGCTTTTCAAAGGCAGACTGAACGCGAGCGCTAAATGGGGGCTGCTGTAGAAATGACAGGTGGGGAAAACAGGGGGATTTGCCTTCACAGGAATTTGGGGAGACGCGTTGGATTTAAATGCAAAGGCGGCTCAGCCTTGGGATGAAAACCATCTTGCAGAAATATGCAGAAAAAAATTCCATTCGGAAATGTAGGTGCGACAATCATCATGCTCCAGGCCACCGACAAAATGTGTAACGGATGTGCATGTCGCCGCCTTCGTGTGCACAAAAAAACTAGAATTATTATACAGATTTCAGTATGGTGCAGATGATTCACATAGCAGAAACAATAAACTCGGCCCTTTTTCTACAACTACATTACATAAGCTATAAATCACAACTCTTAGAACACAAATTACTCATGCTGACATGTTAATGTCATGTCATTGGCTCACAGCATAAACAATTCCATGGGCTAATACATTGGCTTTTCAGGTGGTGTCAATCTTAATAAAAAAATGCAGATTTTCACAGGCCTGCTTATATTTTCTAAATGTTTATCAATTACAGGCTTGTGAGATGTGAAGCACAAAGGAACAACCATCTCCCGCCCTCTCCCTTTGTAGTCGACTCGAATTTCACGTCCGCTTTTGAGAGCAGCTTCAACTCTCATCGCAGACGAAATTGAAGGCATCGTTGAAATAAAAAGTAGCTCTTACAAAGTAATTGATCTTTTTTCTGGCAACAAAACTGACACCTTGGTACTGGCAAAGGAGATCCCATGATGAAGTAATTGATCGTTAAAGTGGCGACGTAACTTGCTGACGAAAGTAATAATACAAATTCCTCATGCTGTTTTTATATATTCTAATGGAAATGACAACAGCAATGGAATTTCAATCACTCGGCCTAGGAAAGTTGTTTACAAAAGTACATCTAATAAAAGAGAAATAGCCATCTGTATAGGCTTCTACAATACAAATCATTCAAGTTGTACTTAGAGAAAACGCTTTCAAACCAGCGATGTGACATGTAAACTTGGGGAATTATAATTATCAGCGCACCACATCACTTGACGGTCTAATCTGTGCGAATGCTGAACATTCATATGAATGTTTACATTCATACAGTGAAATGTGGAACGTATTGAGCGTGTGATGATAATAGTCTATGTAGTACAAGTCTCAAGATATTTGAAAGATCCTCTTGGGATGTAGTGCAAGGACAAGCAGAGGACGTGCAAAGTACACTCGATTCACAGAACACGACTCAATACACCGTATATCAGAACACATGATATCTTTATACGTATCGGTAAAACAATACTTGCAGCATCAGTAGTAAGAAATGGGCTGACAAGCCCTCATGACACAAATATTCCATTAACGTTGTTACAGCCACGTGCACTTTGGTAAAAACAAAAAACAGACAGATGTATGCATTATCCACTGTAACGTAATCTTATAAAGCTTATATTTCATAAACTCCAAAATATACCGTATTATACAGCTCAATTGCCAACTATTGATTGTCTTAATGAAATCCAAATTGAATCAGTCTTACAACTACCCATTTAATTTGAGGCTTGGCAGCAGTTTGCTATGTCAAAGCAATTTTAATGTAGCAATCATTTCAACAAGTTCTCAATTAAGCAATTGCAGTATAAAAAAACTGCTGTTCACTCCTCCAGAATTTTTAAGTAGCACGAACTTACAGGTTCAACACGCAACATGAATGAATTATTCTTGCAATTTCTATTGCAATTATAATATATATTATCATAATTTGGCTAAACATTTCCCAACATTCTCGTAAATGTTTCTACTCATGAAAAAGTACCATTTACAATGTTTCTATTTGATACATCTACTTTCAGTAGGCAAACAATTACACGAAACATTTCCGACTTAATTTAATAAAAATGTATTTGAATTTGTACTGGAGACATGACAATACGTTAAGATTAGTTCAATAATAGCTGCCCTTTATCACAGATATTTGAAAACTGCTATCCATTGTAACGAGGAAAATGGTAACTTTTAATTGCTATCGAATTTAAAACACTTGATGGCAACAGATCCAACCTTTCACTTTCAGAATTCACATCTCACAAACCAACATCGCACCGGTCTTCACAAAAGGTTCATCAGGCATTCCATGAAGAAAACAGCTTCACAAATATCTTCAAGTAGACAGGAACCATGTTCAGTAGTAGACAATTAACAATCACACAGTGGTTCGTGTTTAACAGTTGGTGTCTTCACTCTTAAGTCCAATAGTCCACGCACGTAGCTATATAAACCAAGTTAATCAAGTAAAATCTGAAGCTTTTAACATTTTTCATAAATATATGATTTAAAATGTTCCCCACCAACTAAGTTACTAACTATAAAGGGGCAAGGGGTTGTGGATCACGCCTGTTTGTGAAACTAACTAGCTGGGCACGACACTCCTCAAACAATCTTGAGTACTGTACCATGAATCAAACTCAAAATAATTGTTTAGTCTTTCTATTGATATGCTTATGGTACTTTTGTTGCATAGTCCATTCCATTAAACCCAATTGATTATAAAATCGGCATTTGCTGATATAAGAAAGCACATGATTTAACAAACCATTTAAATAATGAACTTCATTCAGAGCGGGGTGTCCCGAAAGCGCTCATTTGTTGAATTGAATCCATATAAAGCAAGCATTCTAATGTGTTATATAACTTCAACATCACATGCAATTTCATTCTACTTTCTCCACTGTCAACGAATCTAGTCTGAAGACAGATGATCGCAACTTCAATACGGCTGTGTGGCGTGGTTGGCATGGGCCCCGGTGCGAGGAATGCTATCAGGTCTTTGTTCAATTCCCTCCCCTCCGGCTCTTTGTAGCATGGTGCTTGTTAGGCCCCTGATGGCACATGAGCTACGGTGCAGTTGCACCACCTACACAGTTGATAGCTAAGCCACGAGGTGCGCGCGTGTGTGGCAACTCCACTTTGGGGATACAAGGTTGACCATGCAAAGCATGAGCTTTAGACAACCGCACCTACACACACATTGTACTTCAACAATTTGGTTTTGGCAGATCAATTAGAGGTTGTATATAATTCCAAACACACAAATTCTATTTCTACTTCACAAAAAAACTTGATTCCAAAAATATTCTCTGCTATGTATTGTTACACTTCCATTTTAAAAATGTAAAAAATTTATATTCAATTTTTCAATAACTATTTGCTTTCTCTTAAGCGCTTTAAAACCGCACGTAACCCACCCTGCACCCCCACAAAGTGCAGAACCAAATGTCACGACATCCTGTCACCAAAGTAGGACTTGCGGACTGCGCCGACGAAGGAGTCCCGCATCTCCGCCCGGAAGCTCTCGTACCAACGTACGAGCCGCACTCGCCTCTCCGCTTTGTCCCGTGCGCTCATGGCGGCCTCTCGCCTCAGCACGCCCGGCAGCTCGCTCCAGTTCCGTACAAAGACGAACGGCGCTCCGGCAGCCTTGAGCAGGCGGAGAGGTGCCGCGTGCCGCGTCCACCGCCCGCCGTTCGCCGTGGAGTTTCCGCAATGGCCCGGGGTGAGGACGTCCTCAACAACGGGCACGGAGCCCAGCGCGCTCGCCTCGTAGATGCGGTAGCACTCCGTGTTGACGCCGACGGGGCAAAGTGTAAGGTCGCTCTGCCGCAGCGCATCCATGTAGCGCCCGCGGCTCTCGGACGTCTCCATCGGCTGCCACCTGCGGGAATAGGCACGCGCGCACGATTGCGTGCATTCGTCAACTAATGTTTTTTGTGTGTTTTAGCACAAGCATGTGTGGTTAATGCAGACTTGATACCTTGCAATTTGATGTTTCAACATTTTAACATGTGTTTCATCTAGTCTTACTTTCTCACGCGTAGACACATGCACGATATTCGTTGGTTTGTTCCATTAGCTAAACCCTGGAACGCCGCCGTAGTGTCATGGTTAACACACTGGATTTGCAATTCATAGGTCGGCAGGTTGAGTTCTGTGGAGTCAATTTTTGTTGTGGTTACTCCCACCTCCTCCAAGTCGTCTGACCAGTGTAGATGAGTAGGCTAAATATCCTCAAGAAACTCTATAGAGGTCCCTCTAGTGCAGCGGTCGGGAACCTATGGCTCGCGAGCCATATATGGCTCTTCCAGTGTCGGCATATGGCTCCCAGACAATTGAGTTGAAAAAATGATTAAAAAAAATAAAAAAAAATAAATCAGTTTGGAACTGATTTAAAAAAATACTTGTGATATTGCTTAATAATACTGTGTCATTTTAAAGTAAACAGAAATTAGTTTTGAAGATAAATTTCACGGGTCACGCCTGCACGAAGCTCAACCTCACCACGTATGAACCAGACTACAAGGCCGTCAGCAAAACCACGCAGCACCAGAAGTCGCATTAAAAGTAAGACATATTTAATTTATTATACGTTAAAAATACTATATGGCTCTCAATGAAATATATTTAGAAATATTTGGCTTTTATGGCTCTCCCAGTCAAAAAGGTACCCAACCCCTGCTCTAGTGGAATCCTTTGTGCCAGCGGCGGTGTTATTATAAAGCCATTGCAGGACCTTAGACCTTTACTATTCTAAGCAATGTTAATAATTTAATGGCTCGAGTTCTCAGGCTACGGTGTCGATTATGGGGTTTGTCTATACTTCACCAATTTTTATTTAAAGCTTTCGTGACTGCAAGGATTCATATTCTTGGTTCTTTCGGTAAAGTCACGTAGAAGGGAAATAATAAAATAATACAAATATAAAACAATAAAAATTCTCACGACGTTTCGACTGCAACACGAGCAATCATCACCAGGTGTGAAATCCACAGAAAGGAAATTATTATTTTATTATTTCCCTTCTACGTGACTTTACCGAAAGAACCAAGAATATACCTCACCATATTTGTCAGTGCAGGCTGGTGAAGAGGGGGTGGGGGGGGGGGGGTTCCAGACCAGCCGGAATATCACTCAGCCCTGGAGTTAGCTGCAGGCCAGGAATTGCACTCGGATCACCGGGTTTATTCTACAGTATACTAACCGGTGTCACCAGTCTGCCTATGATGTGATAAATCGCACGGTCATGTGTGTTTCCCATTGCTGGTGATCCTCAACGTCAACGAGGAGCAACAGGATCATCATTTGCCTTCAACCAAATATCTCCAAATTCACAGAATTCAGCAGATCTTAGAAGCAAGGCAGATTTTAAGCCTGGTTGTTATTGGATGGACGACCACCAGGGCTTTCTTGCCTGGTGTCAGAGGTATTGGGTTGCAAGTTGGACAGGAGATGCCAGAAAGTAATGAAAGGATTTGGGAAAACATTCCATTTGCAAATAAATGATATATTTACTACTTTTCTCCAGTTATAATTTGGAAAACATGCATATTCTCAGTCACCCACATTGTGATGCCTCACATTTATCCAAATTGTGGCCATGAGCCACCTCAGTGACTTTACAGAGCCAGCCACTCATCATTGTGCATTATACAGGAAGTATCTTAATCGAAATATGGCCATTGCCGCTTGTAAACGAAGACAATTGCAGCTTGTAGAAATCTAAAATTATTAATAATGACCCACATATTTAATCACGGCATATTTACAAATGTGTAGCCACATGGAAGCTGTTTTTTTTTCATCAAGACAATTCATATAACAGAGTGTTGTCAGAAAATGTGGAATTCATTACCAATGTTGTCTTGAAATAGAACTCTTCCCTTCGCAGTGCATGTGTTATTTTAAGTCCCCGAAGGCCCTTGCAACCCAGAAAAACAAATGCAAACTCGATTTCAAACGAGCCACGAGGCTACTGAAAAAAGCACAATATGGAACCTTTAAATGACCTGCTTGAAGGCTACCCCAAAGACCTCCACAACCTCGTTAGAAGCATCGCGGCTCACTCGCACGACAGCAGACACTCACACTGGTTGGGTGCCCACAGGCTGAGAGACCGACGCGCTCGAACGTAAAAAGCACATCGCGGCATGCGCATTCACGCGCACGGGGGCACCAAAAGGCACACACACACGAGCGTGCGGGACAGTCGATGTTAACTGCCGCTACCTTGTCATCAATAACGGTAACGTTCAATAGCCAATGTGTGACCACCAGTTTATGATCATTAATCACAGGCAATGTCACTTTTGTTTGCGTGTGTGTCCACATAAAAATGGATTGATACATATTATACTGTATATCCTAATGTACTTTTTCATACATCCATTCATTGATCTAAAGTCTTTTGCCAAGATGGGCATGTTAAATTAAATATTTTGTTCATACTGAAGCACACACTCAAGACTATCATGCTAATGATGGCCAGTAGTTATGATCCACATTGCGATTAAATTGAAATAATTCACAATATATTTTTTAAAAACTCATAACACACAATTATCGTTTAACATAAACCAATATCTTGTTTGGGACTTTAAATCATAGTTACAAATAATACCCGAACTGGGTACCCAAGGAAAACAGCTTCAATTTACACCTTGGCTGGTAAATCAACATGGTTTTCACATGGCTGAGACTTTTAAATGATGAATGTGAGAATTGCTGCCAAGGAAATTGGCAGCAGCTGAACCACAAATTGGTAACCGAATATGAACGGCATGTGACATTGGTTGGAGAAGCACGCTTCCTTGGACTGTTCACGATTTCTCGGACACCAGTAAGAAAAACTGGCTACGTTCCGAGTTTACATTCCAGTCTGCGGCTTCGTGTGATGGCGACGTTAACCTATGGGGAAGGGGGCCACCGTATCATCCTGTGGTCTCACACTGGACATTTGCTCGTAACTATCGAGTAGGGAGGCATTGCAACAGCACTGGGTGTAAGAGCCATAAGACAAAAAGTTAATGTATTATATCTGTGTATACATTTGATGTACATCTGTCATACATTTATTGACAGACTGGTTATAGTTGATTTGGAATATTCAAACAGTTTAGAAACCCCACTTTGGTTAGACGCTCTTCTGGTTTTGCGGTATAAATGGGAAGCTATGAGAAGTGCTGAGCAGGGAGCGAGTGGATACAGTCTTTTACCGTGTGACAGGGTGATGCAGTACGTGAACAGGCGAAGATATAACTTTAGAAAACGCTCGTTTTTGTGCAAGTAAGAAATAAAGAAACACGCGTCAGACTTATTGCTCCCACAAGTTAAGGCGTAGCTTATTTTCTGGTACAAAAAAGCTGCGCCTACACTGGGGACTAGGTGCTGGGCAAAGAAGAGGGGGGGAAATAGGTGGAGGGGGGGGGGGGGAACTATGCCAACCACACTACACTTCTCTTACAACCGAATACAGTTAAACCAAAAAATTACTGTAAACTATTTTTCTTTTACCAGGTCAGGTCCACTGAGATATAGGGCTCTTTTTCATAAGCAACCTAGCCACAAATGATGGCTCAACCAAGTGGATTTTCACGTGGAACTTTTTTGTGGTCAAATACTCCAAGCGCATGATTCTAATTCTGGAGGAAATTACAGAGGACGTGACCACAGGGTGAACATGCAAACTCCAAATATACAGGTGTCAGGGTCGGGTTCAAACCCATGACCTCAAGTATACCATTTGAAGTATTTAACATCACACCACCTTAGTGCTCCAAGTTAGTGAAGCAGGCAACCTGAACCCACAGTCATGTGGCCAGTATGGTAAGATAACATTACATTGTGTATCGTTTTTGTTTGGCTACAAGCATGCTCAACAATCGTAAAAAAAAACTGAAAGCTAGTCATGCATATGTAGGGGGCTTTGTGAATTGCAGATAAGTGGCAGGTGGGTCCTTTCAACTGATGCAGCTGCAAGAGTCATCAAAGTCCACGAGTTGAGACATCCACTTTAAAACCGTCTGCTTCCTCAGTCCTGCCAAACACTATCACGACATGTCACAGAGCAACACACGATGCTGCCTGCCACTGTTAATTAGGCATGTAACGATTCATCGATTTCAATAGACTACCACGCTCACAATACAATTATCAATTCTGCAGGTACAAATACATTATTTTTAGATTTGTATGCCGTGTACGTTCGGCCTTTTTTCTGCCAATCTACCTGGCTGGGCGAAGGACTCCCCACGCGATAGAGGTCACGGGGGTTAGTCGATCAAACTTCACAATGCTGGCCAGTGTGGGCTCGTGAAGGCGAGAAGTTTATACATTATAGTACAACAATGTATTATGCTGCATTTCCCTCTAGTTTTTACCACGTAGCCACAACCTGTTTTGTGCACAGTGGTCACCCATCAACGCACCAGTCAGGCTCAAACCTGCTTATCTTCCGAAATCTGACGAGATCGGGCACATTCTCTGCGATTTGGTCGTTGGGGCTCCTACGCCGTATCTAACCTATAAACTTTGATTGCTTCATGGAAACATGATGGCTGCCATAGATTATGCATGCTAGGCCCTGAATTGTGACAATTCATAACATTATGGAGGGGGGTATGAAGGGAATCATTACACATCTCGTTTTGGGAATACATAAAATAAAATTCGCTCTTTCTTTATTCTACATCCTAAAGTTTCCTGTCAGGTACATAGTACATATCCCCGGTATTATAATTTGAAATTTAATTCAGATTCAGCAAAGGCTATTTTCTACCAAAGCTTGTTTTTCCTCTGCAGTCAAATAATTTTTGGTGCCATCGTAAATGTACTTGCAGGAATTTAAAGCACAATATTCATTCTTGATTAATTTCCAAAGCACTGTGGTTTAAATGCTTGCCAGGAACGTGAATTAATCTATGGGAATTAACGATGACTGCGAGGGGGTTCATGAGGCATTCCAGGTTCTTCAGGCATTCCTTTACCTACTTGACAAATTGGGAAGAATTCACTTTCATTGCATTGCTCTTAATGAATAGCAAGAGACAGTTGGTGTTGTTGTCTAAAGCTGCAAAAAAAAGTTCCCAAAAGATAAACAAAGGAGGCTTTTTCAACCCCAATAGGACCATGGAGGCATGTCCACAAAGGAGACGAGACTGTCAAAGCGTGGTACCAAGCGATGGTGAAACTGAACAACGAATGTTCCATTTGCCAATGCAAAGCCGCTGTTTTTACAGGCAGCACAGGTGTTGGAAAATTAAGCATGAAGCATGCCACATCATATCTTTGCAAGCGTCCCCTAAATCCTCCTCCCTGGCAGCTGACCACTCGGGCGATTCTGGATTGTTGCAAAATGGACCAGATGGCCATGCACTTTCCACGTGTGGAATATTTTTTGGTTTGCCGGGATATGATGGAAGAAGCAATTGGAAGTTTAGATCGGTAAAAGGTTTTGTGGGATAGTGCCCCATAAACAAATGAGAAATTGGGCCTAAAACTGTTCACCACATGCAGATATTGCTATTATGCTGCTATCATCCTTAATTAAAGACATGAAAACCATGGTCGCATTGTTTTGGAGAGTATGATATTTTAATACTATTCATGATTTTGCTGATCAAATAAAGTCAAAGTGGCAATTTATTAAATATATATGATTAAAAGTGCAAGCAATATTCACAACTTCTAGCATGTGCAATTAAGTACACACAACATGGAGTGTATGAAAATACAATCCCCAAAAAATATCTAAAATTATTTCAGATATGCAAAAACTATTTGCTTTTCTGCTGTTAAACGTTTTAATTAGCATTATTTTTTCAAGACCATTATGAGACCATTTACCAAGCATTTCCATAATTTGTATGGTAAATGGTGTGCTCCTGTACTTGCAAACCTATCTGGACAAGAGTAGCATGTTCGTGCTAGAATTGCCATGGAAGCATCCAAGAAAGAGTTGGAGTTGTCCCTTGGAAGAAAAGCAATAAAATGCATTCACTTCAAATTTGAATCAACAACTTTGAGAACAAATGTAAATTCCATCCACTTGCCAAGTGGCAATGAAAGAAAATTTAAAAGCAAATACAAAATCCAGAATGAAATTTTTCAAAATGTTCCTCGAACCGACTGAAAGGCTAACGTACTCTGCAACAGGAATAATATCTGCCGCGGGTCTGCGTTGACATTTTACGGACAAATATGTACTTTTTTTTTACCGATCATGAAGGGAATGTCAACTTTGAAACCAAGTCAACCTTAAATCAGAAATACACTGCTCAAAGTAATCTAATTTCTTCATCTGTTCGTTTTCAAAAGGAATTTCTGTCTGAATGACTCGTCAAACAAATCACATGCGATGCTATCCAAAATAAGTTACTATGGGACTGTCATGTGGATGATGGGATAACCGTACTGCCTAAAATAAATAGAAAATCTAACATGTTTAGCACTAGCAATGTAAAAACAAGATCAAACTCACACCTTCCTCCGAAGCATACTTGAGGTTGTGGTCTTCACACCCAAAGGTTAATTGCATCTGTAGTCACACTGGAAAGGTGCTATCCAATATATCCTTTCTACCATGCAAGAATTCCATACCAATACTCTGTATTATAAAACGCCTGACAATTGGAATAAAATTGGGAAAACTGCCAACAATTCAAAGAGTGGACAATAATGACAATGAGGGTGCATGAAGCAAGCATGTATGCTGAACTTCTTTCACACCGCACGCAGCCAACCGTGCTAATCGGAGGTACCGGGGGAAGGATGTCGCTGTCCACGCACCGAGGGATTGTGTGTCCGTGCGTGCGTGTGTCCCCACGTCGGCACTCACTGCTCGCGTTCCACAACGAGGCAGGAGTCCCCGAAGCCCGACTCGTGAAGTGCGCGCAGCATGGCCACGCGGGAAGAGCCCGGGTACACGGTGCCCAGGAAATTGCAGGCGTAGCGACGCGGCTCATCCAGGGATACCTCGGACGGCTTCACGACGGGGAAGCCTCTGTACCTGCAGGGGACCAGCGATTAGCAGTTTAAAGGAATGGCGCGCACTTACGCTTGCTCCGTGGTGTCATGAATTGTTACGATGCAGCCACAATTCTAGTTTTAAAACCGTTTAAAGCCACAACATTTTCGGTAGGCTCAGCCAAGGTACATGGGGTGAGAGCTGGCAGATCCAGGCCCATCCTGGATTAGCCCAACCTACTTTTACAACCCTTTCCCCACCCTGACAATGAATGTCCTTGCTCGTAGTTGCATTGGCCCCAAGCTGACTGCTCATAGACACTGCCCTCTCATTTGACAATCCTGCAGACTACTTTATCCTGGCCAAAGCAGGGCATTTGGTAGCTTTAATAATGGTGTGCATTTTGAATCAACAGCTGTACGGATTTTTTAAGTTATCAAATAGAAATCAAAATAAAATCTTGCAGACACCATGCAATGCATGTGTCATCGGTGAAAGGACATACTTTAATAGACATAAATAGTTTGTTACATATCTATTACATGTATGATGTAATTCTAACAAAGTTAGGCATGTTAGGTGCTGGCTCATTTGGTGAACATGCTCATGTATTTCAAATATATATGATTAGAATTTGCTCATGGAATTTCAGCATGAATCCACCATAATCGTTTCAACAAATTACTGTGCGCGTTGCGCAGTGATATTTCCGGGAGGAGTTTTACAATGTATTCTCATTAGCAAAGATGTTCTGCAATTAAAAAGGAGGCACAGTGCCTATGAACTCTACATAGCTGAGCATCATACACTAAAAATCATACCGAAATGCTCCCTTACAGTCCTGAAGCAGCAACAGTGCTATTATTGACTGGGAGGGGACACACGCTTCAACGGCGTTAAGTGAAGCCTGGCCCTTGGAGATGGCTCTTGCCATCTCTCCTATGGGCACAGAAAGCATTTCAAACAAACTAAAGATAGAAAAATCGTGGGGCGGTGTTATTCCAAAATTAGAATCTAAAGTGCCACTCCGAAAGCAAAGTTGTACGTTTAAGTTCATTTCAGATCTCCGTCTGCAAAGAAAAGATTTACGCACTGGTGTAGAATTCCATTTGAAGCTTTGCTGCTCCTGTGCGTGTTTACCTTGAGACAAAAAATCAATGGGAAACTGTAAAAATCTACCCACCCGCCCTGTCTGTTTAAAGGCAAATACTGTGATCAGCAGGGGTAAATAACCGCATTGGTGGTTAAGTAATCAATAGTGGAGTGCAGCATCCAGCAGGCCTCATTGGCTCCTATTGCTGTATATAGGCTATTTTAGTTCTGTATTCTGCTCAGTCCGGCATGGCCACGAAACTGGGTTAAATTTGATCTCAAATGAAATTTTTACAAAATAGCCCTGTTTTGTCAACAAAATTTCATTAAAAATTACAATGAATAAATATAATAAATAGTTGCTCATGTATGTATATTTTGTATGGGATTTGAATATGCAATGTAATGTAAACTATACTATTTCAGAACAAAACTAGTTCACAGGAAGGGGGTGATGTTGCAATGTGCAATCCCAGAACAATTTTCAGCATTGGTATGTTTGGACAATACGATTTTTTTTCTTTAGCTCTGGGAAGAAATTCGACAACCCGAAGGAAGCCCCATATACACAACAGCGGGAGAACATACGGCAAGTCCTCGCTTAACACGTGGGCGCCATGGGATGACTGCAAGTTGATTTTATTGTGCAAATTGTTATTCCCTGCAATGTACTTCCCTCGCTTAACGTGTTTTCGTTTAACGCTGCACTTGTCAGGAATGCATCTACCACGTTAAAATTAGGCATTGCTGTACAAACTGGGGAACCGAACCCAAGCACTTCTTACTGTGCTACGCAAGTGTCACCACTGCTGCCGACAGCCGAATAAAATGACATGCAACATGTCAGATCCAGTTCACATAGCCACCCTGGAAGTGAGATAAGGCAAGGAAATGGTGAGTGCAAAGCTGCAGAGCATATGCATCAAGAAAATCCACTCGAGGCACATGTATGTATGCTAATACAGGTAGGAACAACAGGTTCCACACTGCCCACCAGGGATTATTTGCCTATCTGTTGTGCATAGCCACGCCCTCGATTTATATTTCATAGAGCGCGTCGGGCAGGCTCCGCACCACGTGACGCGTGACACGGATCGCACGAATGCGCTGTCCAACCAAGTTCCTACCTGCCCACTCCAAAGGAACGTGTTATCGGAGGTGCGGTGGAAGGAAAACAAACTAAACACACGGCGTCAACAGTCGCGGAATTTTGTGGCTTTAAGAGTTACTGGAGAAAGCAGCGTTAAAATATGAATCCAAAACTGCTTATAATCTGCCACTGGAATCGCATTGCAAAAAACGACGAGCATATTGTTGGAAATGATAATTAACCACCTGCAGATTTTTGCCCTATATGTGGGTATCTGGAGTATTTATATCCGACTGGGCAATAACTGCCATGAGCAGTTAAAGAAGCTTCCAGGGTGGCTTTAAACGTCCACACAAAAAGAGATGCGCACAATCATCCACTAGGCTCATGGTCTCAAAGCAATGTAAAATGTAATTTACTGTTTATGGTGGTTGTATCTCCGACCGCATCGCGAACGTGTTGGTGCATTCATGAATTCAGTAGCTCAAATCTATGGCTCATTACAGTGCAATGCGTACCACCAGGAATTTACATTTCAACATAATGTCAAAATTTACATCTTCCATTCATTAGGAAGTAATTAGTCACTTGGCTCTACAATAAAATGATAATTCAATATAATTATTCAATTGTAATTTTAGGTATGGCATTGAGGTTTGGTTTTCAGTACATGGAATTAGACGCAGCATCTGTACGTATAACTCAGGTGCAAGATAGATTCAGAATTGCAATGCACAACTCGGCATCATGACTCAAGATTGCTATAGTACAGTTCTTCAAGGCACCATTTCAATCTTGGGAAATGTCAACCTTGTTGACTGTCTAGCTGTGGTTCACATGCAGCAATTAAAGTGCAATTTCTCCTCACTATCTGACACTCAGGCCAGCAAGCAGGATGTTTACATTGGGCTCAGCACCTTGCACATTGCTAAACAATTGGCTCGTAATGATGCCTCAGCCCATGGGGTATAAATGTTTATTTCAATCACAGAACTTACCTCGAATTGTGTGAGAAGAGAAAATTATTTGTGACTTGTAAAATATTAAAATCTGGTTGCAAAAATATTCTTGCTTTGAATCATGGCCTCGAATATTAGACAATTCCTGTATCACTGGAAAATGAATCGTCGTATCTCAGGAAACAAGATACGTACATGCACACTGTACATCAATATCTCGGCATTTATGTGTTCCGACCACCGTTTTCATACCTCAGGGGATATTGCAATGTGGAAGGGGCATTTCCTCCTCAATCCAAAAAAATGCGCGTGTAAAAATCACCTCAATGAAGCAAAATAAATCCCTTCAACATATTAGATCACATGCTCTTAGTTCTTTCGGTAAAGTCACGTAGGTAAAAAAATGAAATAAAAATTAATAGAAATAAAAGAATAAAAATAAATTATTGTTTTATTTTTTATTAATTTTAATTGATTTTTTTTACCTACGTGACTTCACCGAAAGAACTAAGAGTATGAATCCTTGCAGTCACGAAAGCTTCAAATCTAGAAATATTAGATCACCCCAAACGAATGAAAGACAACCATTACTGCTACATGGCAAAAGCACGCACGCATTCCTTAAACCAAGACCGAAATTTTGGACACCAGATGATCATTATTTTTAAACAGTACAGTATAAATACAATATCACCAGCGAGCACTTTTGAGGCTTGCTTGTTACACTGCAGTTTTTCGAAAAATTCAAGCGACTGAATGCATTAATTTAGAAAACTTGATACAATACTGACATTTTAAGGCAATTTACGGCCTTGCATCTGCTCATCTCAAGAAACTCGTACTCATCTAAGGCATAACGATCAGGAGGAACCCATCTCTCCTTCCTGGTCGTGCCACAATCCCGTGTGGCTGATGGCGAAATAACTTTTTTTTATATTAAATTATCACAAACATTACTGGAACCATCTTTGATTACAACGTCAGTCATGCCCTTCTCTGCGAAACCATTAAGCATGGTTGTATTGTATGGAATAAAAAAAACGTCCATGCTTAGTAGAAGTTCATTTGTATGGTAAATTGATGAGTTCTGCATTTTTTAATGTTGAGTGTGACATTGGCTTCTTGTAAGGCTTATGATAAAAGGAAGGGGTAAATTGTTACATGTAATTTTTAAAATATATTTTGTATGCAGTATGATTAATACTCGAGTGTGGTAGGATTATATGCGACAATAATGTTTGTTGTGATGCACCTTTGAGTAGTTCTTCAATTAAAGGTGGCATATAAATGCGATTTGTTATTATTATGATGGTTGGGCGTTGAAAAACTACGATCGTGAAAATTCCTTCATCCATGCCCCTATTGGCTCCAGATCGATTGGCAGACCTTCCTATTATTTGCGCATCCGTTCTCTCTACTATCTATGCATTTGCATGGGTCAGAGTAATAACCCAGAGGTTGAGATAATCATCCTATTATCAGCTCTAATGCACGAGTTTGACCCAACCTGGATTGACCTGGAAGTAGTCTTCCAGTATTAGTACATTATTCATCATATTTAAGCATGGCTGAGAAGAATAACGTAGGGGTCCAAGCATTTCTGTTTTACAGATGAACTGGGTGGACTTCATTATTATTCGAATGTATTTTTACATGTGGTAAGCCTCTCATTTTAACCCATGAGAAATATATTTTTGTGTAGTGATAGCAACATATATAATGGTGAATAACACGCAATAATGCAGCTTACCACCTTGCGTGCGTTACAAGGCACTGCAAGATAACATTTTTAAAATGTAATAATGCATGCGTCTTGGCCGTTATCTGCTAAAATGCTGAACACAAAACGTGACATACAAGCACATATGGAGGGTTGTAATGTTGAAAATAAGCTCATCTCGAATGATAAAAAAGCATTTTGGTCAAACAGTTCCTCCTCTCAGCGATAGATGTTTACATCCGCTAATAATGTACAGTATATTGCACAGTTCCTCAAAAATAACCTCCGAAATGTTAACCATCGGCAGCAGCGTTAAGGAAGGAAATTTTTGGTGTCGCAGTTAAACAAAGACAGCCATTTAGAGCTACCAACTTGCACGTGTCCCAGAGTGAATGTCATAATCTACCAATGTTTGCCATTAAAGAATTTAAAATAACATTTCCATGAAACAAGGCTGAATTAGCGAAAGGACTGTGTTTAACAAACACTAATAGTTTGACCAGGCACCACTGCAGATAATAGACGATGTTATGTTAGACTGGCAATTTAAAGTCATAAATGCCTGCCTATTGGGCGATAAGATGAGCATTGCCATGGCAGAAAATCAGCTTCAGGCTCGGATCACTTCGAGGAATTAAGATTCTGTATACACATTTCCTTACAACTTTAATATGGAAATGTAGTTTCATTGGTTTATAAACTGAGAATAGCGAATTAAATAGAAAATAAAAATGGCAAAAAGCAAAATAACATTAAAAAAATGAATAATTCGTTTGATTCCATCGCTGGAAAATAATTATTGTCATTCCACATTGCACCCAGCCTATAATTAACAGCTGGGTGCAAGGAGAAACATAATAAAGTGGAAGTGAGATGTTAAGTTATAATTAAAAGCTGGTAGAAAAATGTCATGGCGTGCCACAAACCGCAAAACGCACACTCGGCATGCACCAAGCACAGCGCTGTGTCCCAGACACGCATTGACGGAGCAACCTTCCAGAATTCATGCGGAAGTTTGATTGTTCTACAAACACAACGGTCAACTGAAACTTGCGCGGAATTCCCCGAAGTGGCATCTTGGCGGGGGGTGTTTCGGAATGAGTGGTGGTGTAACAAAACAGTACGTCGATTCGTGGATCAATATCGATTCCTAACCCTCACGAGGCATGCGTTGAATTGCGTGCTTCAGATTGAAGCGTCACAGAGGCTTTATGATTAAATAAAAATATTAATATACTGGATAATAAAAATGTCATGCACAAACTGATTTTTATTCCAAGAGACCGTGCACATGACACGGTAATTATCTGGCCATTCAGAAGGAAAGTAGAGGGAGTAAATACACTTGGTTGAAATGCAATGCTTGTAAGTCACACTTGGTTCAGCATTTCCACGCTTAGATTAATTGTCACAATTCTGAGTCATCATTTGACCCAATGTATTTTACCCTTGTGGAGGTTAACAAACAGAAAATGTCTGGGCCGCATGGCATAGTGATCAGAGAGAACTTATCTCGCGTAACAAAAAATTTCACGAGGAGTTGACTCCAGTGTCAACCGAATTAGTACCACTGTAGGACGTCAACAATAATTAAGCCATGGCAAGACTCTCCCCTGCCATAGTAATGTGTGGTTTTGATCATAGACTTGGGGCTGCAAAACAGAGATGAGTAACACACCCCACACCCATTTGTACAAAAAACCACTGACTATTAGAACTACAAACACATGAATGGGCAATTATTCTGCATGTATCTCGAGCACAATAATCCACTTCTAGTCTATTGCCATAACCCTATGTTGTGGGCAGCAGAGCAGCGCAGTGCAGCAACATCTATAGTTGTACTGTACTATGCTCTCAGATCTATACTCCACTGACATTGAATCCGCACTTGGCAATGCCGGATTCACAAATACGAAGGAGGCATTACAGAAATATGCTCAGCTACTCCAGATGGAATTATCTGGCTCACCCACCTCAAAGTAAGATTATAGTTGTCGCTCTACATCAACATCAACCATACGAAGATGAATAACAAGTCCCGTTGAGACCTTTTTGCCAGTATAAAGACAATGAAAAAATATAATAATAGGCTTTACCTTTTCTGGTAATAAAGAGGTCTAGTTTAGGCTAATCAGTTTAAAAGACAATGCATATATTATCAGAGCATGCTTGTTTGCATGTTTTGCCACAAGTATGTGTGGTTAATGCAGACCTAATACCTTAACATTGTTATCCATTTGGGGTTTGAATACCTGGACACCTGTTTTCTTGCCAGAAAGGGTAAAGCCTATTCTTATTTTTTCAAGAATAAGAGGGCTGACCTAGCGTGGCAAAGCGTTGCCAAGCAACTCCCACGGCATCAGAGGGGGTGCAAGCCATCATCCTGCAGTGGACCGACACCAGTGATGTAACACGGTATGGAGGAGTGGGGGAAGGGGGTACCGAGTTCATGGGGCCCAGCTGGACTCACGTCGCAACACCAAGTGGCCACTGCAGCACAGAGGAGCCGTCCACCAAGGGGCTGTCGTACACGAGGAACGTGGGCTCCAGGAAGCCGCCAGCGCCGCGCAGTAGCGGCACCAGCCAATCGTTGTCGCAACGCTCGTTCCCCAGCAGCACGAGGCCAGCGCCGCGGATCCTGCCCTGCTCCACCAGCTGCTGTGCCCACTTCAGCCAGGGCCTGGCGAACGCCACCTTGAAGACGGCCACAGAAAAACAGCGTTGGCGGCGATGTGACGTTATATATATAAAAAAAACCTACAAACTCTTTTTACCCTTTTATTTAACTCACTGTCTGTTGTTGTTGTCGTTGCTATCGTGGTTGTATCCTCAAATCTTGTAACTCAATTTTAACCCACTTCTCAATGTGGTATCGACTGCAAACTTGGTATACTTATGTCATACTGATGACGATACTATATTCTATCATAAAAAATAGAAAACATATATTTTAAAACATTATATTTTATATGTTATGTTTCGGCTTGGGTCTAATTGTCCACGGTAAACTGAAGTTGGCTGTAATTGACCACGGTCCCTTACGTTATGGCAAGCTTCGGGGCCACTTCTTGGAGTCGTGGAGTTCTTCCATTACTAGTACGGTACATTTCATTAAAGCGTGTTTTTAAAAAAGTTTTTTATATTACTTATTCATAAGCGACTTGGCCACAATTGATAGTTCAAACGAAGTGGCTTATCATGAAAATATCCTAAACGCAGGTTGATTCTCAATATGGAGGGAAACACCAGAGAAACCCAGAGAAAAATCTACGCGTCCACGGGAGAAGCATGCAAACTCCAAATATACAGGCGTCAGGGTCGGGACCGAACCCATGCCCTCCGGTGTACTAGGCGAGGTAGTTAACATCTCGCCACCATGGTGACTCTGAAAAGTGAAGCGACTCCCGAGTGGTGTTTCTCAACTACAGTCCTCAGAGCCCCCCCACCCCAAGATAAGGATTTCCGTGAATACCAATACCAATCGCTAGGCATGTGCAGTGTAGTGGCTTGGTTTGCATTGGAATAGCAAAGAATCCGGCCAGGTTGCTCAGCGATGGACGAAGTGGCTTCGCAATTGCAAGTTCGAATCTTGGTTGTGGGGTTGTGACTCAGGCCATCATCCCTGTGGGGTCGTTCTCTTGGGTGAGCAAATACTACGGCGCATTACCTGTTGAAATTATTAAGTGGGGGTGCAACAGTTACAAAAGGGAGGCACAAACTGGCCAACTTCGTAAGTGATTTGGATCGATTTTGGCCAGGTCTGGCTGCTGTGCTCTCCAGTCGAGCTTGTGTCAGTGGTCATGGAAACAAGGCACAAGTCTAGCTTTCCAACGTATTCTCGAATTGTACCATGCATTCTTGAGTACGGCAACCGCAGTTTCGCTCCACCACGTGCTGTTGGGAGCTTCTCTCAGAACAGAAGCGCAGAGAAACGTGAGGACCATCGTGCCAAACAACATGCGGTAACCAGCCAGAAACAGAGCTAAGATAGCACAACCATGAAAACATTGGGTGCCATGGTGGCGAGATGTTAACTACCTCGCCTTGTATACAGGAGGTTGTGAGTTCAATACCAACCCTCACGCTTGTATATTTGGAGGTTGCATGTTCTCCCCGTGTTCACATGGATTTTTCTCTGGGTCCTTCATTTTTCCCTGGATATTTAGAAACATGCCTTTCGAGTATTTGGCTGCTATAAATTTCCACACGATAAGCCATTTCGTTGAGCTATCAATGTGTGATAGCCAGGCTGCTTCTGAAAAAAAGATACATAACTCAGTGGGCCTTACCTGGTAAAATAAGTTTAGTTTTATTCTGCCATATGCAGTACCAATGCGCAAGTCAGCATGCGCTCCTCTAATCATCTTGGCTGCCGCGGATGAGAGTGAGATGTGTTGGGAGGTGGGTGTTCACCTTGTTCTCCTCGCGGCCATTTAGAACGAGCATCACCGCTTCCGCACCCTCCAGTGGCACCTGCTCAGGCACCAACATGGGGCCTGTACGGAACCTAGGCACAGTGACAAACACATTCCTCCATATTCAAATGTGGGAATTCGGTAAAACGCGGGAAAGTTGGCCCAACGGTTCAACCACATGCCAACAACGTTGGACCAACGTTGCACGTTTACTGGCGATACAGTGCTCGTGTAAATCCGACTGCTGCGTAATCATTGGGGACTGTGTGGCTATACTTCACCGCAGAGGTGGGACAAAGTCATTGTTATGCAAGTCCAAGTCGAGTCTGAAGTCATCAAATTCATGACTCGAGTCTGACTCGAGTCCAAGTCACATGACTCGAGTCCACACCTCAGAGGTGGGACAAAGTCATTGTTATGCAAGTCCAAGTCGAGTCTGAAGTCATCAAATTCATGACTCGAGTCTGACTCGAGTCCAAGTCACATGACTCGAGTCCACACCTCTGCTTCACCGTGCTGGTTAGTGCGCGTTGGTGAAAGGAGAACACCCCAGTCTAGTTCAGATGCCGCTTGCCACCGATTATAGCTGTGGCCAGAAATCTAATTCAAGAACGTCAGGTTCGTAACGCAGTGCAATAACCACTGTCCCACCCTTCACGTGATGGGTTACGTGTAAATAAACACCCATATTTTGTTTACAGGCAAAACTACAGCCCAGTTAGGTGCATTATATCTGCAAAGGTGTATGCTCACCCACAACTAACACATTTAAAATATCTAATTTAAAGGAAGGCACAACCCAAGAAACAGCTACTATATTGTAGATATGTACCTATGTTGATTGTCCCAGCCTGTCCAACAACCTTCATTATAGGTTGTTGAACCTTCATTATCGACAATAAAGAGCCTCAGTCAGAGGTACTCTGGTGACATCACGAGGAGCATCATATTTCTAAATAAGATGAATACATCGTAGCATCGCTGCAATGTCACACGAGCGCTCCTACTCGTGATTAACAATTTTTCTCATGAACGAAGTTCCCGACTCCCGGAAGGCAGCACGGAACAGTCTTTAGGTGTGCATCTACAAAATAATGGGGACATGTGATTGTCGTTTCCTTTACAAGGTTCCACAGAGAACCATCTTTTATAACAAACAATGTAAAAAAAAACCCACACACTAATGTGTCATCTCCTCTTGCAAGAAAACCAGCGGATAATCATCATTAAGCACTCTCATATTAAAGACTTCATAAGTGGACATTGATGCACACTATAAGGAATCAAGTCTGCATTAACCACACGTACTTGTGGAGAACATGCATACAAACAAACATGCTGATAATATATGCATTTTCTTGGTTCTTTCGGTAAAGTCACGAAGAAGGGAAATAATAAAATAATAAAAATAAAACATAATAAAATAATTATCACGACGTTTCGGCCTGGTCTTCACCTGAGGATGGCCTGCTTGCGTTGTGGCCGAAACGTCGTGAGAATTATTTTATCATGTTTAATTTTTATTATTTTATTATTATTTTATTACTTCCCTTCTACGTGACTTTACCGAAAGAACCAAGAAGATGAATCCCTGCAGTCACGAAAGCTTTAAATCGAAATATATGCATTGTCTTTGAAACCGATTTGCCTACACCAGAGACAGCCTTCTTTGTGGCCTAGTCTCACCAGTGTCAGATCAGCGAACGCCAAAAGGCAAGCGGTACAAAGAGGATGCACGTATGAGAGCACGAATAGCTCTGGTCGAACAGCTATATGATCAAAAGGTATCCATTTGGTGTTTGAATATCTAAACACCAGTTTTATTTCAAGAAAGGGAAGAACCTATTCATATCCTTCATACTTTGATGCTGGCAAAAAAGGTCCCATGATAAGAACAACAATCTCAACAATTACTTTGAATGCAAAACACGTTTCCCATTACCAGACCAGTGATGAGTAATCACATCCTCATTTCCCTTCTGGATATCCTTTCATCTGTGCTTCAGCCTGTGTGGATGTGTCATGACCTAAATGACTCGGGAATGTCCAAAGCAATGTTGGTAACTGTTTAAAACAATCTCAGCTACGGGGATGAGGCTGGAAAGATTTTAAACTGGCAAGAATTTAAATGAAATATATGTGAATGCCTTATTTCAAAGTTTGTAAAAAATGATCCATAAAATTAAATAATAATCGAATTAAAATAACAGTAAACTATATATTCACCAAAAATGGAAGTAAAAGCTATTAGGTATAAAATCATGTCGTAGATTTTGCATTAACATTAAATTTCAAAGCAAGCCCCATCACTGAAACAACATCTGATTACTGTAGCATTATAGAATGCTTTAAGACACTTATATGCTAGCAGGGATGGACAGGATTCAAATCTGTTTGTTTTGTCTTCTTTGTTTAACCACAACACTTAGGTATATTTAACAATATTAAACTGCTCCACCAAAGCAAACTGTAGAGGAAATGGTCATCCAAAATTGTTTTTCAAAATACTGGAACATTCCAGAGTATCAAAAATAAAATAAATCACGACGTTTCGATAAGGGGGGAGGGGCAAGATTTATTTTATACCTACGTGACTTTACCGAAAGAACCAAAGAATATGGATTACTGCAGTCACGAAAGCTTCAAATATAGATATCAAAAATAACATTTACCAAATTTTAGATGAAATGATTAAGACAGATATAAAAGCACCCGATTGTCACATCATTATGAATGCATTTTTCGCCGAATCGTTAAATATCGTCACTCTTTCACTCATGCAGACAAAGCCTTTGACAAAACAAAAAAATTATCTACAAATTAAAATTAAATGTCAATGTACTGGTCGGAGAAAGGCCTCCCCCCATCTGGTCATCATATTCAGGCATATGCTCTCCTGGATGCCACTCTGTCACCACTCTGTCTACCAGCCATCATTTATTGTTGCAATGCGCCCCATGTGCACTCACCATTCACATATTGTCAATACGATGTCTCTGCTTTGCATTTGTGCTCACCCGCAATTCTTTCGGCGATACTTAAGAGTGTTGCAGCCGGTTTCACCTTCTCTTCGTCAGTATGCACGTTTCCAATACATTATATTCGTGTAAATTCATAAAAATGTGGTTTGTGAACATGTTTTTAAACGTTACATATAGCAAAGCGGAGCATCTTCTGCTTCCTGACCTATGAACCTTATGGTGCTACCCCGGCATACCATGGTACCCCGGCTCTCGCAAAATGTCCACGATGCAGTCATTTTTAGTCTGTTGATGGTCGGCGATGCGGCAATCGACTCATCTTGACAAGCTGTACACGATGCACCACTATTGTGCGTACGAACGTTCCGGGTTTCAGCGCAATCGTCCTCGCTGCGTTTCGACATCGGAGTAGCACCGATTTCGGAATGATTACCCCAGTCGCGGCGTTAAGTACATATATGGAAAAAAAAGTGTCCTAGAAATAAAATATTTAATTGCCTCGGCCATTTTGTATTATTTGGTACCCTGGGGTACCACCATAAGGATCATATTTCCCACTCATGTGTGGACTGCCTTCCTGGCCCTCTTTCTCCACACAGCTCTGTCCTGGTCCATCATCTCCACGTCCACTCCGGTCCTTCAAATCCCAGTTGACCACTTCAAAGCAGTTCTTTCTATGACGGCCTGGTGTATCCAGTCCATGTCTATATCACCTTTTTGTCTGATGCGAGTTTCCTCTCTCGACAGTGTAGCATATGCGTGTGCAAATATAACTTTACATTTGCACACGCATACGTTGGGATGTCACATTGACCTGAACAATGCTATTTTCATTTTTTACATATATTCATGACGCACGTGTTTGGCGAGTGCCAATACCCATGATTATTTATCAGGTCTGAGAAAGGCACTTTACCAAAACACAGGAACTAGTTAAATGACGATTAACATTTTAATGCCAAGTGAGTGACAGAAACACACAAAAAATGTTCAGTGACAATAAATCATTCATACACAAACAGCAATCTTTAAATCTGAAAGTTTTCCTTTGGGCCATGTTGTTATAGCTATCAGGGCAAAAAATGTTTTTGCATGTTTGTACAAACTAATTTTTGCCCGTGTTGTGTCTGCACGTTTTTGGAAGTGCTTTCATCAATTTGTCCAGGTTTCAATGAGCAATTCTCAAATAGCTACACAACTTTACATAACAGGCTTGTTCATACTGGATCATCTTCACGAATATTATAGCGCATTCTCTGTGTTATGGACAGATCCACAAACAGCACAAATACACAACAGTTTCTGATTGGCAAAAGAATTAGACTAGTTCAGTTATCAGCTTAACGCAAACAAAAACCATCCAACAGTAACTGTCCTACAATAAAAAGCATAAAACAGATATTTTAGGTAATGGTCCTTCTTTATATCAAACGCAGACAGGCCAGAGAAGTAGAACTAAAATATCCACATTACACAAAAAGCTTAATTTTGTTTATCAGTCTAAAGTTGTGCAAGATGTGTTTCTTGGAAAAGGGCGATGTCCGTTTTTTTTTAAAAGGTTAAGAGCCCCACGTCTTTTGATGGGGCGTTTAAGGCCATTTACATTTAACGAGACAATGTTCAATTTAATGGCCACTGGGTCGTCTATTATCGCTGCAGGGGGCCGGCCGGGTGAAGGGATCTGGACTCGCACGCCCAAACGCCATTTGACGGAGCGGTAGAGCTTTTTTTTGTAACTAAAAGTATTCTAATAGGGTACAGTCATTTTGATATTTGTATTATTGTGGACCTTGCGATTTAATTTTACAATGTGACAGCGGACAAAGTTACACGCAAAAACCAGATTTATATTCTTACTGGGGTTGCTGCTGGTCAGCCCCAAGAGAGATACAGTCTGACATGAATGTATGGTTTGTATTTGTGTTGTACATTAAATGCCTTTGAATTAGCATTTAAAATTGACTTAAACAAGCAACCAAACCCCATTACATAGGCTGTTCAGGTTCCATTTACTCAGATCTATATACATGATAATATAAATAGTACACATCTGTCCTTCGTCAATACACAGCAGTAGGCTTCCCTCCCCCATGCGTACAAGTGATTGGGGTTATTAAACCATACTTTACTGTGTTGGCCAGTGCGGGTTGAGGGTAGGGAGCAAAGACGTGGGAGCGTAGAAGCACAGTATGACAATAATTTGTCTGCACTATCCTCTGCTGCTCACAACGTAGCCTGCAAATAACTTGGCGTGCGTGTGCTGGCCCATCCAAGAACTATCCAAGCTAAACCCGAGCTTCGGAGATTTGACAACCACTTTTGTAACAATTTTTTTTTATTCAATGCTCTAGTAGAGCCAGATAGTTCCATTCATCTCATCTATTTTACACAACAAATATGAATTAAGTACACAATGACGCCGGGAGATGTACTGAGGCCTGGTGCTAAAATCAGGACGCTTTAACCCGCGCTTCGGGGTTTGTTTCCTTTTCCTCTAGCACCCTCACGTGGTGTTGTTTCATAGTGCATAATACGGTCAGACATCCTCCAACGGTTTAACAAATTCATTGTTTTAGACCCATATTTTCGATGTACATTAACAAAAAAAACTAACACATACATACATTAAAGTGTGTTTTATACAAGACGAATTTAAAATACTTTCAGATGGATTTCGTTTGAGGACTGATGTGACTCCATTACCTTTGGATTCACATTGTGCCGCAGCTTTACACATGGACCAGTCAAAAGAAGAAGTACACAACACACATTAGCAAAGTTGCAAAGGATTACAGTAGTTAAGAATTGTGTAAGCTCTGATGCATGACATTCCTCGGTGGTTAGCTTTTGCCAACCCCTCGGAATGGACAAAGGCCTCGTCATACCATGTTGGTATAAAGTGAGTTGTTAGATCATCCTTCTCCAACCTGGTCATTAGAAGTTGGTGAAGTGGGACGTAGGACTGGGTGGAGTTATAAACGATAAAACATTTTTTTTTTACCAGATAAGGCCCACTGAGCTGTATAGCTATTTTTGAGAAGCGGCCTGGCCACAAATGATCGCTCAACGAAGTGGCTAATCACGTGGACATTTACAACATTCTAATAATACCCGAAACGCACATTTCTAAATGTGGAGTGATAACCCGGGAGGATCACGGGGAGAGACATGCAAACTCCAATTATACCGGTGTCAGGGTGGGGATCAAACCCACGACCTCCTACATACCAGGCGAGGAAGTTTACATCTCACCACCGTGGCGCACCATCACACGTCACTGGTGTTAGCCGTGTCCGGGAATCACTGCGTTTAATAGTGCTGTGCAATAGTGCTAACCACTACCCACCCCTTTAGCCCATACCTGAAATACATGTCCTTAATGGTCATGGCTCCCTCTTGCCACTGCCCAGAAGAATCCATGGTCACCAGCTCTCCTCCAAACACATGCTCCCACAAGTACATCCCTAAAAAGAACACACACAGACCATCAGTACAACACGGTACAAATACATTCTTATGCACACCATGGTGCCTGAGAATAACACATTTCATTGTTATGGTTGCAGAGAAATTATTTTTTTTTTTATATTTATTTCACTGCCATATCAATCCAATGCTGTATGAAGGCCTTCCCGCGACACATAGGTCGTGAGGGTCTATTGACCATACTTCACCAGGCTGGTCAATGGTCCAGAACTGATTCAGATATCTTTTAACACCGATGTTAACCGCCACTGGGAATTTCACTAACCACGACACAACCAATCCCCCTTTTCTTTAAAATACACAATTCTACATTTATAACAAAAACATAAACCACGTCCACACACAAAAAACCCACGTAATAAAACACAAAACAAGTAAATAGGCCTCATCAGCGGGCAATGCTAATAGGCATTGCACCTCATTAGCCTTGCGACTCCCACGTCATCTTTATTCCCTTTTCATTTGTGGTGGGCAAGGGCATTCTTGCCCCAGCACACACACCGCAGGTCAAAGCGGATTAGTTTACCCCACTCCATCCGCCATTAAATCCTTGCCGAAAAACCTAGAAACCTAATCCGCACTTTGAACCGAAAGCCTTCACCAACCCCGGCCCATTGACAGTAAATGTTCAAAAAAAGCACACGACGTCTAAACTTACACCGCAGCAGAATGCCACTACAGTGTTCGAATGAGTCCAAAAATGTGTTCACGTAAAAATTATTGTATCGCGTTCTACCAAGTCAATTGAGAGTAACATTTTTGAAGCTTGTTTACATTTAAACACGGCTAAAACAAAAATCTGCGCATGTAACCAAAGCACCAGGAATGTATCCGGTCTCATCAGATGTCGGTGCTATGGAGGGTGCTTTAAGGGGTGACCGCCATGCATAACAGTTGTTATAGGCTGCAAGGGCTATGTAGTGGACAAGAGGCGGTGCAGAAAAATCCATCGTCATGTTTTTAGCACCTCTGCTCCCCACCTTAACTAGCAAGGCACGGTATGGTCATGTAACCCCTACAAGCCGCAAAGCGTAAGGAGGCACTCATTCAGCAGAGGATTTACAAGAGGATACTATTGATTGACATATTGCAAAAAATGTAAGGCACAGGTTATAAAAATGTTACGAGACCTGTAATGAAATCAACAAGCAGAAAACCCCAAAGTGTTTTTTTATCTCAAGGACCTTCAGATGCGATAGCTCTTACGGTGCCAGGAATGGGTTAACTATAAGGCCGGCAAGTATACCCATTGATTTAAAAAGTCAACTTTGCAACAACAAAAGATTAGGGCCAAACCAATCCCTTGCTAAATCATCCTGCCCAACAGGCATCCCTTTGTGAGTGAACCATTGCAACTGAACAAAGTTCCCCCTACATACATACAAAAACATAATCTGTATTATATCCCAGATTAGCAATTGCGTTTTATTAGGTCAGATTTTAAAATCTATTGGATTAATGAAGTGGAAACAAACAGATACTCAGCCAAGGCTAATTCTGTGGTTAAAGTTATTTGCAAATGATTGACATGTTTTCACTATATAAAAGTAACATTGAAAAATTAAGGGCATGAATTAACTTGATGGGAACTCAGAGGTTATTGTTGGGGAGGGCACTTCCACTGTTAATCCTCACATTACAATGAAACACAATTAAGTAATGCAGCTTGAATAAAGCTAAATCAGGCTGGACCCTTCTATGGAACTCGGCAAAATCTCCAAAAGGTCATTATGAAAAATAATACAACATCCCGATAGACTTTTCTTTCCCCATTTTGAGTAAACATCATTCTTTAAGAGGCAGAATAGATAAAGAGGTCATGGCAATGGTATAACATTGTTATTTTAATCAGTATTCTTTTAACTTAATACGTTGTTTTTAAAATGTGCAGGTGCATTAATTAGCAAACCATTAACCCCCCCTGGTATGGCAGCAAGAGCAGTTTATGCGAAAGCTTTCGCTAGAGGTCACACGTTTGGCGCAATGGTCCTTCGCTGACTAAGCGTGATTAATGAATGAATAACCCGACACTAAATGAGCCATGATGCTCTGTGGACCTCGATCCCTGGTCACTTGTGTCATTAACCGGAATCATTCCCTTCCCTTACACTGTGGCCAGGGGGGAGACGGGTCAAGATATGCTAAAGTGAAAGGTGTTCATGTTTTCACTGGTGAATGTCAGACTTCTTTAAACTATTATCTTTGTCAACCTTTCTCCGAAAACAAGGCGCATGCATTTATTTTGACGCCATAAAGTAACTCCACAACGGGTTAAGGGATGAGTGTGTGGGATAGGTTGAGAAGATAGTCCAGAGGCCGGGGATTTCTAATCGGTTCGGCTATGTCAGGCTGCTATGGGAAACCAGGCTGTCTGCTGCATTGCCAGCTATGTGCCAGCATCCAGTCCGCAAAGTTCCAACTGGCTGTGGATATGAGATGCCAGACAAGCCAATGGGCCAACTCTTGACGGATGCCTGCCCATGTTTTGTTCTTAGATAAGACATCAGGCAATGGTAACAAGATGTTAACGCAATCTTAATTTTAACTACGTGACTTTACCGAAAGAACCAAAGAGTAAAGATGTTAACTCGTTCGTCCTGGTATGCAGGAGGTCGTGAGATCGATCCCAACCCTGATGCTTGTATATTTGGAGTTTGAATGTTGTCCCTGTGGTCACGTAGATTATTCTCAGGGTTCTCCAGTTTTTTCCTCCACATTTAGAAACATGCGTTGCGTATTTGGCTGCTGTAAATTCCCACGTGACAGGCCACTTTGTCGAGCTATCATTTTGTGGCCAGGTCACTTCCGAAAAAGAGCGAGTAGTGGGGCCTTACCTGGTAAAAAGAAATACAAATAATATATTCGTGCAGTCACGAAAGATTTAAATCGAAACAAATAATATAGTATAAAAAGAAAAATAATGGCAACTACAATTCTTTTTAGGGAGGTATCAAGACTACTTGCAGAAACATTAATATTACTATGTACATTTTTTGGGTGGAAGAGGTGGCACAGTGGTCAACACGATGCACAGTGAACCCGGCAATGTGAGTTTGATTCCTGACCATGACTAACATCAGTGAGGAGTTATCTTAACCAGTCCTAAGTGTCGCCCTTCACCAAGCCACACGGCGCAGCATGGTTAGGCAGGGTCAAACTACCCCTGTTAGCGACACATAGTGGAGAGGCCTTCTTCCAGAGTGGAATGACAAAGGGCTGGAAATATATTTATTGCAACTGCTGAACTAATTTATTAGCGGAATTCATATTATGTGGTTTGTTGTCCTTCCCCTGCACCTCCGATTAGCATGATTGGCTACGCACGGTATGAAAGAAGTTCAACATCCATACATACGATATATGGAAGTTAATTTAATTATCTTATACTTAATTTGGATACCATGAAGCCATTATTTCCACAAGCTAATGCAGTTAGTACAGACTTCCGATTGGCTTCGGATTATTAAAGCTCACTCTTAGCTATTTGAGCTAAAGCGTTACACACGAATAAGTGACACTTACGAGAAAGTGTATAATTTTTACTGTGAATGCACATTAGCCGGCAGCCCTTTAGTAACTGCACAAGAAACCCACTATAATTTCTTTACAAAGCACATTCCAAAAAAATCGGAGGTAAAAATTGTCAGAGCAGAAAGCTGTCATAATTTAGGGGATGGAACCAAAATGAGTACTACTTTAAGTGGCAAACCGTTCAGTAAAAAGCAAAGGTGCATGCAGCCCTACAATTGCTTGCTCATACCACTGCTGTTCAAAGGCTTTCCACTAGAGCAGTCGTTCTTAACCTGGGGTGCACGCACCCCCTGGGGGTGCGAGAATTCCTGAGAAGCCAAGGGGTGCAAGGCTGCAGTAAAGGTAAAGAACCACTGCACTAGAGGGTATTTGGCACACCCTTGTTGTCTAGACATAAAAAAAGGTGGAAGTACCCCCATCTTACACAACCACACGCGACCTGCGAGTGTAAAAATGCTGCCCCCAATTGTAGGGATCGGAGGTAACTTCAAGGGATGTCAGGAGTAGTTTTGTGATATCTGCTTCTGGGAGCAATTCTCTCACACAGATGGCGAGAGACAAAAATAGTTTGTTTGGCTCTTGACATGGAAATGTAGAGCAGCCAAAACCTCTAAACACATGTTCATAAACATGGAAGGAAAAAACGGAGGACCCAGAGAAAAATCCACTCGACCACAGAGGGAGAAAATGCAAACTCCGAATATACAGGTGTCAGGGTCTCGGGATCGAACCCACGGCCTCCTGTATACCAGGCAAGGTAGCTAACATCACGCCACTTCACAGCCCAAGCCAATGACAAATGGCTTTCCCTGTTATGATCCCATTCAAGTGCTTTGGCCATTCAGCATTAATCCTCCAATCATGTGCATCAATTTAAAGCACCACTTTCAACGACCACTGTGAACAGGGTCCAAAGGGGCAAACTGTCCTCACAATATACAGCTGTCCAACTTTAAAGGTTTAAAATGTTTAAAGGTTTTATTTGAAATGTAATATCAGCCCCACTCAAAAGGGTATCAAAATATTGTACAAACAAATGCAAAAAATACAATCGGGAAAAATATGGAATGATAAAATGAACTTCAGAGAAAGCAATGAGGAAGTAGTGAGTTTTGTATTCTCTCCTGAAAACGCAGGTGACTGAGCACACCAGACCGCAGCTGGCAAGGCATTCCAGGTCTAAGGAATATGAAAGAGCTTCATCGCTCATCAGATTTCTCCAGGATAAAGATTCTGACTCAAGAAGGCCTGACCATCCAGCGTCGGGTGCAAGATCCGAGGCTGGGAGTCGGTCCTTCTCTGATGATCACAGCACACAGGCCCCAGTCACATCAGGGACCAAACGAGCACACAGGTGCGAATGTCCAACTTTTGTAACAATGTCACGACCATATTCTTTTGGTCTGTGTCGCTCTATTTATTGTGAGCTGCAACACTGGGAAAATAAAGGCAGGGTCTGCAACATGAAACTGTTGAACTAACCTCGATATATAGGTTGTCTGTTGCACACTCATAGGTGCTTTGATTTTCTAAATACCTTTATATAGGTAAATTATTTGCCAAACGCACAAAAAACACAACATGGCGATTTTTGGGGGGGTAATTTTTATATCCATAGCTTAAGCATTTCCTTGACTAGATCCCCATTTGGTCAGTGACTCGTTGGTCCCAGCCATACAGGCAAAAGGCAGGGAATCGGGTATTGGGCCTTCCCATCGTTTGAAGAGTACAATTGAAAGTGCAAGAAAGTGGACTTGTTTAAGTTCACCTTAAGAGCTTTCAATAAGCTTAACTACATACCAATGGCAGCTTTTCCCCAGATGTGCACCCTGCGCAGGCCTGGGGGCAGGATGATGGTGGCTTGCGGTGCCCCTGGTGCAGCCCCGGGCACCTTTACAATCCACGTGGAGTCATCCTCTGGGCCAGGGCGAGGCCTCGGTTTGTACGGAGGTTCTTTCTCAAACTCCTGGCCCCAAGGATTCCACTCCGTCCCGTCATCTTCCTCCTCCACCTCGTCCACTCCTTTTCCAACCACGGCATCCACTTGTCCAGCTCTGCCCGCTATATGCCGGTCTGTTGAACAGCACGCCAAATGCAAAGAAAGCAAGGTATCAGATTGCTGCAACTGGCATTTTCACATTAATACGAGTTAATGAAAGACAGCCTTTGCACCGTTTCATCTGCTGCCAATCCATGATAAAGAAAAACAAATCCACTGACGGATGAAGGCCTCCCCACCCGGTGTTGGTCATGGATGTTGATTTTCGATACTTCCCCATGCTGGTCTATACAGGTTGGTGAAGGGGCAGGCCCAGGACTGGGTGAAGATATCACTTGCCACCAAAGTTAGCTATAGCCAGGAATCGAAACCAGGTCACCGGGTTCATACTAGAATGTGCTAAACGCTGCGCCACTGCTCCACCAAGAAACTTATTCTACAACACGAGTTGTACATGAAAATTGTGCTTCAGCAAAATTAGGCTGTTGAGCTTTTATCACTATTTCAAAAAACCCTGCAAATTCTGCGCTACACTTTGTCATTCAAAATGCCAAGGTTCTTTCCACCACGTTCCAAGAATGACAACTTGTGACATATTTATTAGTTACCTGGCAAATTGCAGCCGGTGAAAACTAATTTTGAAAAAGGACTCGCAGTGCATCATGCTTAAGTATGGGTTGATAGGCAGCAGAATGATTTGTGCCCATCATGAAGGGAACATTTCAGCATTGCAACAACTCAAAGTGAACACCTGGGTCACAGAGACATGGGCTGCCTGTTATAAAGAATAGATATCTTGCATCTATCTTCAGGGGCAATCCGTGCCAACATTCCTGTGGGAAACAGGCAGGTATTTTGTGCAATTTCCGATGATGGATCTCAGCTCAGTCTTGATGGTATCGGATTTATGTCGAAATTCTACACTTGTGGAATTCCGCAGTACAGAACGTTTGACATGTTTATACAACAGATGCCTGCATATCTACCATTGCACTGAAAAAGCAGACGAGGTCATCGGTGTGTTACTTGAGAAAAGCATGTTTAATGTATAAGAGGTTTTTTTTTGGGTTAGATCGCGTAAAAAGACGTGTCGTTAAAACCCGCCACAGCCAACTAGTAAGGGTTGTCATGTAAACAGAACGTGCCAATTTGTCACTAGAACAGCACACCGGTGTGTTGGACAGCAAAGCCACAACATTTACAATCCGAGCACGACGTTTCGCCAGTAATTAAAACTAGCTTCATCAGGCGACAGCCAGATTTGTGGAGAAGTCTAACCGTTTCGTTCCTTAGAGGCGGGGGAATTTATGAGTCAACGTACATTATGCATGTGCATTATGCGAGCCCTTTGATCTTGACATGTTCTGTTTACGTGACAACCCTTTACTAGTTGGCCGTGTCGGGTGGTAGCGGGTGTTAACGACACATTTATATATTTACACAATCTAACCCCCAAAAAAACCTCTATTATGGATATTGGTCGCGAAAGCGTGTGTTAAAATGTTTAATGTATATTATACAATGTTGGAAACACCTTTCTCAAGTTAAAGTATCCTGTAAGTATTGACTGACTGTCCCAATACTGTGATATGTGACCCCGAAAAATCTTTAATCCCATTTTAAATTGGAGACAAAGCATGAATTTTCCTAATTTGATGGGAAATATAAAAGCTCACTGCAATATACTGTGAATTAAATCACAAGAAATATTTTTGGGCAATGCATAACTTTTAAAAGCTGGCAGGTCGTTAACACATTATGAGGTAGGTGTCCAGATCGTAGCACACGGTTGGAGCCTAAGGGAGAAAGATTTTATTTCATCTTCAATCAGGAGCCAAAAAGTACCCATGGGATAATTTTGTGGTGGAGGCTGAAATGTGGGGAAACCTGCTTTCTTATCCCTGTTCATCAAAAGACTTGCGGCTTTCCACACAGAAGACCATTCACATTCGTGAATCGGTGTAGCACAGGTCAACCTTTATGAACGTTTAAAAAAGCAGCAGAGATGAGAGGCAAGAAGATTCGTAAGATCACACCATCTTTTAGTAAACTTAATCCATGACACAACACACATGTTGCGAACCGACATAGCATAATACGCCGATGCTTCAACATACATCCACCACAGCCACCTCAAAAATAGCAGATGCCTCACTGGTAAAATGTAAACAATCTCAGAAACACATTACTTACAGCTGTCACCGCAGAGCAAATGTCCTTAAAATGTGAAGAGGGAGTAGGCGTGCTACAAAGCAGACACTGTACGAACTTTTGCTTAGACAAACACCAGCCCACCTCTTGTGCATGCATTCATTACAGCCCACACGTGTTCATCAGTCAAATTGTCTAAACCTTCATTACAAAACAATGTCGATAAAGTCAGCCTTTATATTGTAAACAAGTTTTTCAAGGTTAAAAACGCATGTGCCGTGCAAACTATGTCCAAGTTCTTTGGACACGTTCACCATGCGTGGGCAACTTAGCCCTTGTTACTCATTACGAAAATAAATATGTTGAAAATTCAGTCTCAAAATGGGCTTCTGGAAATTTACCTGCAAATGCAAACGCGTGCGTGTGTGTGTATGAATGCTGATAAAACTTCACAAGCTCCTCGTCTATGAAACACAGCCGAACGAAATGTCCTTTGTAAGTAAGTAAAATCACGTGTGTTTTAGCTGGTGGAGGACGTGGCACTCCATTGCCAGGCCACACAAGGGGGCTTAGGTAAATCTAGAGAATCTCAGCCCACAGTGATGTGTACACACAGACCCCTGTCTCTTGCTCACAACCATCTTCTGTGCAGTAAACCTTCTGGACTGCAGGAAACAAGGGACATTTGAAAAGCAACCTTTTCAAATGCTGCACAAACACATGGGGACTGTTCATGAGAAAAGGCAACACTTAGATTTGCCTATATTTGACCAATTTCTCAAAAGGTCTCGATACAGTTACTACAACTTAATTAGCCAAGCAAACGGTACAACAAGATATATCTGAAGAGTGATTGAAATACATGTTATTGCCGAGTTACAAAACATAGGCATCGTGAGTAAAGTTTAGATTTTTGTTTCTTATCCGATATGCACGTGCAAATGTATTTTAACACATCAACACGTACAAACATATTACATGTCAGATTACCATAAAGTTTAGAAGTGTTTGCAGCCTGCCAACCAACCTCTCTGCAGGCACAAACGGTGTCTAACTTTTGTACAGCTCCCATTATTATGAACACGATTCCAACGTAGAATGTCCTATCAGCACCAACATTATACAATACAGACTTTGACCTCATGGTAGCAGCAATGTGCCTTTGAAATCCGTGTGCAATATCTAAAGCCGAATTTTGTTTAACTTACATATTAGTTAACAAACAGTCTCTGTATGGCCGTGTTGATAGCCTTAATGAATTCGTGTGTACCAACATTTACATTGAATGCCCCGTGTTGATAGTCTTAACTCTTAATTAATTCGTGTGTACCAACATTTACATTGAATGCCCGACTCGTAATAAAAACCTTTTTCCGCAATGTATTATCACCGGTTATATATAAATCGTGTGCGTGTGTGTCTATACTGTGTAGGGCTGTATTGGTACAAAGCGTGGTTGACAGCTGCTTTTAAATCTTAGATAGAAAATAATTAATTTAGAACGGCTTATGTTTAGTTTGTTGTCCTTACCCTCCGCGCCCCGGCACCTCTGATAAGCACAGTCGGCTACGTACGGCGCGAAAGAAGCTCAACACGTATTCAACATACACGTTTCATAGACTTGAAAATTGTTTTTTTACCCTTTTATCTGGCAACAAAACTGACACCTTTTTTTACAAGGAGTCATGTTTGCATTGACCACAATACCTGCGGTCGGAATGCAGACAAAAAAACACAACTATGTTAATGTATGCACTGTCCTTGAAATTGATTGGTCCACACACGAGACAGCTTTTCTTAGAGCCTAGTCTCACATGGTGTTGGACCAGATGACACCAAAAGGCGCACAACTCAAAGTCTACGCTTTCGTAGACTTGTTGAGTTTTTGCTCTGGTGTTGTGTGTGGGGGGGCTGTGGGGAAGAGGCATTCTTTGGCGTTGTTGTGCGGTCGTGTTGTGTTCCACGAGGATGCCACCACCACCACCACCAACAGCTGCTGTTGTTGTTGTTGTTTGCTGGCCCTCTTGGCAACAGGAGGGCCCCGATGTGTGCTCACTTTGTGCGTGTTGGCTATTAAAATCATAAGCGGTGGAGACCGTTACGTTGCTTTAAAAAGCACGCCGTCATACGCGGACACAGTTGCATAGTTTTTAAATCCTTTATATTAAGTTCACTTGCTTGCTTGCGTGCTTACGACCGTGCAAATCTTTCGGTCGTTTTTTAACCCACTTCCCGTGATCCAATCGAGCTGACATTTTGCACACAGACTCGTTGTGCGTGACAATTTTTTTTCGTGAAAATTTTTTTCCATAACTTTACACTTTTTAGGAATTTGTTTTTATATTTAATTACCAATTGCTTAATGGTGGCAGGCAATCATCTGACCCATAGGTGGCAGCCATCTCAAGCCAGAGGACGAGAGAACTCTAGTCGCCACGCATATAAAGGATTTATAGTGAAAAACTTTGTTTTTACGGGTTAATTTTTTTAAAGCTGTCGTGTACGCGGTAATCTCTGCGTAAGGCTGACAATGGCAATAAGACGCATTAATAACACACCACACTGTACAGTACGCATACTGTACGTAATTAAAACACATTATTTGGTAATGCTGCTGCTCCGTTTTTTTTTGCAACGGGACAAACAACACAAAATAAAACCAAAACCCCAATACGTTCAATAACGCCGTGGATTTAAAAAAAAGTAAAAAACATTAACAAGCGACGTTTCGGGCAATGACCCTCGTTAATAAGCACATCGTCCAGCGTGGCAGCCGTTACACACGTGACAAGCCGTTAAACGTATAACTTTGTCCGCGTTGCAATTAACCGTGCGTTGCTACTTTGAGCCATCTCGTAATTCACACGCGTTTACGTAAAATTAAAAACTAAATCGCGTCAACTTAACGTAACACAGTAAAAACGCAACACGCCGGGGCTTACAATATCATAGCGAGCATTAGCAGCCGTGGCGCTCTGCCGCACGCTCATTGGCCCAGCGGGTCAACGTGCCCTCCGCGATCGCGAATCCCATTGGTCGAGCCGCCAGACACTCGGCCGCACGCGCGTATCCGAGCTAGAAAATACAAAACGAGCGACACCTTCATATAGTACTATGATGTAAAATACCCAAAAAATGTAATCTACACTCACCTCCAGGGCTCGCATGTGGCCGCAGCGTGGAGGCGGACTGCCTGGCGCCGTAGAACACCACGTAGGCAGCGTAGAGCGAGAAGACGCAGTAGACGCCGCCCGCCGCATAACAGAACCGCCGCCTGCTCAGCCGCATCGTACGCCGCGTCTGAGTTGCTCGCCCCAACCGCCCGGGCTTTTTATATGTGCGGTGACGTCACCACGTTGTTTGCGGCGTGACGTCATTGCGTTGTTTGCGGCGTGACGTCACCGCGTTGTTTGTGGCGTGACGCCATCGCGTTGTTTGCGGCGTGACGCCATCGCGCGAGCCAACGTCATGACGTCGTTACGCCAAGTCCATGTGTTTTTTTGTTCTATCACGTTAATCAGATTTAGATTTAAAGCTTTGGTGACTGCAGGGATTCATATTCTTGGTTATTTCGGTAGAGTCACGTAGAAGGGAAATAATGAAATAATAAAAATTTAACTATTAAATTCTCACGACGTTTCGATTGCAACACAAGCAATCATCATCAGGTGTGAAAATCACAGCAATAATAAAAAAAGCCACTTAGAAAAAAATAAATTATTGCTGTGGTTTTCACACCTGATGATGATTGATTGTGTTGCAATCGAAACGTCGTGAGAATTTAATTGTTTTATTTTTATTATTTTATTATTTCCCTTCTACGCGACTTTACCCTAAAGAACCAAGAATATGAATCCCTGCAGTCACGAAATCTTTAAATCGAAACCAACAATACGTTAATCAGAAATTATAATGTATATTTATCGTGGAGAAATCTGATGAGGTGTGAAGCTCTTTTGCACAGATGTCCAGTAGGGGCGGGTCAGAAAGTTACAACAGCAAGCAATGCAAAAAAAACCCGATATGAGTGGAAAGAATAGGAAAGGGTAAGCGAATCACTAAAAGTAAATTAGCAAAAACTATCTCCAGATTTAAACTTCCTTAGCTTTGACATTGACAAAGCCTTAAATACATTCCAGGAATTGGAAGCAGCCATTATTGCAAAAGCATAGGTTGTCGGCCAATGTTTCAAACATATACACATCAACAAAATACAAACAGAATATGTTCTTGAAATTGCATGCAGCCTTAACTATCCGCTATATTTCGATTTAAAGCTTTCGCGACTGCAGGTTCTTTCGGTAAAGTCACGTAGAAGGGAAATAATAAAATAATAAAAATAAAACAAAATAAAATGTTCTTTTACATAATACAATTTTATTGTATTATGCTTTATTTTTATTATTGTATTATTTCCCTTCTACGTGACTTTACCGAAAAAACCAAGAAGATATTCTCTATATTCCAAAAGATTTTCAGGGCTATTCTACAATGTGGTGGCATTGTGGCGGTCTTGAGCGGCGGCTGAACGGTAATTGGCAATTTGACAGCGGTTACACCTTTCACTTAACCGTGGCCAAAGACAAAACATTATAAGAGCATATTCTTTGGGTCTTTCGGTAAAGTCACGGAGATAGAAAATATTTTCTTTAAACCTATCTACGTGACTTTACCGAAAGACCCAAAGAATATGAATTCCTGCAGTCACGAAAGCTTTAAGTCAAGATTATAAGAGCGGAAGACGAACATAATGTCAAGGTTGAGTTTTTTTGTAGAGAAAATTACAAGTTGCAAAAAATGCTTTGATTGAATCGCTCCAGTCGCTATTGTGACTCCATGTAGTACACGTTCTTTGTCGTTTATTGTGAAAATTCCGTCACAGTTCCTATGATCACTGTTTCATTGCTTTATTTTGGTGATTTCGAAAAGTTTACTGGTTTGGCCACGTTTGTTTGTTGTAGTACGGAGTAAGACTGATGGCCTTAATCTAAGTTGTCTTGTGGTTGTTGTTTGACTTGCATCCCACTGGGATTTTTGCACACAGCGTTGGTGTACGGTGTTTTTTCTGCAATATTTTGCTGTCTTTTCTTGGATTTTCTGTTTGCACTTAGTCAGATAGTCACTTTAAGGTGTTTTCTTGTTCATGTTTTTGTTTTTTGTTTGTTGCGGTTGCACCCGATTCAAGAGCCGAATGGCTCACAGGGCTATACCTAATAAATGAACTTGAAACTTGATGTAAATGGCGACATTTGGTGGTTCGCTTCACGGGCAGTTGCTCATTTTAATGGTTGAGCTCTTTTAGAGTCTACGGATGAAGGAAATGCATCTGCCCACCTTCTTGTTGGATCAATATACAGGTAGTCCCCGACTTACGACGGTCCGACTTACGATATTTCGATCTTACGATGACGATACGACAAAATTGCCATTAACAACCTAACATCGTTCAAGTATGCAGACGACGGGCAGAATCTTGGTGAGTTACAGTACAATATGATACGTTACGATACGTTCAATGCATGTATGATACGTAGCTTTATCGATTTCATTTTAACGTTACCACGATACGATACGTTCAATTCATGTTAAAAGTTTTTTTTTATAGCAGATAAGATTGTTTCCTGAAAAAACTTTCTATTAAATTGCAGTTCATTAAGGTAGGCTAAGAATCTACCTTGTTTTTTTTACTTTACATTTTACTGTGCAATACAGTATTGTAATTAATAAATACATACAGTATATAGTTTATACAGTACGGTACTGTAAATTGCTCTGTTTTGCTAAATTATCAGCATTCTTTAAGACTCCTGGGTAGGCTAGGCCATCTTCGACTTACGATATTTTCGACTTACGATGAGGTCGTCGTAACGCATCTCCATCGTAAGTAGAGGACGACCTCTACACGATGGCTCAAAAGTCAGGGGGGCACGTATGTTTATTTAGTTTATTTTAACACCGGCATTTTTATTATTATTTTTTAAAAGTTAATATTTACTTTACCATAATTAATATCTATTCGTTCCTCTTACTTTTCAAATGGCACTTAAACATTGAAAGAAAATTGACAACATTGACCAAACGTAATTGATGAAGATTCAAAGGTAACACCTGTACACCTGTATTTAATTGTGTAAGTCATACATTAATTTCTAAATATAAATCATGCATGCGTTAATGTTAATTGCAATCAGTTTGTACGTGTGAAGTATGGGAATTGACGGCAGGAACTTCTTGACGGGTAACACACTTTTATTAAATCCTTTAGGTATCACAATACAACGTGTGGTCTCTCTTCTTCCTCCGACACACTCCACTAATCTCGTGTAAGCTCTAGGCCTCTGGCTACACCCGATACACTTGACTCGTGTAGACCCTATGCCTCTGGCTACACACAATATACTCGACTCGTGTAAGCCCTATGCCTCTGGCTACACAATACACTCGACTCGTGTAAGCCCTATGCCTCTGGCTACACAATACACTCGACTCGTGTAAGCCCTATGCCCTGGCTACACATAGTACATTCGGCTCGTGTAGACCTATGGCTACACCCACTACACTCGCCTCTGGGTTACACAGAGTCCCGGTCCCCTTAGGACAGCGGGGCTAGGTACCGCAGGGCTCTAGGTCTTCATCCCCGTCTTCCTTCTTCGCTGGTTACACACTGCCCTTACGCCTGTGTGCATCCCCTTTTATAGCCCCTGCTCACGAGGGACGGAGCTGATGCGGCGTCGACGTGAGCGTCGTTCCTTAATGACCCAATCACGACGCACTCTCTCTACGATCCGCTTTCCCCAGCGCGTGTTAACATTACTCCACCAATCACACTGCGCTGCCACCTGATCACTCCCTCTCAGCGCGTCACCACCTACACAGCCAATCATCACGCACTGTGCATACGATCCTTAATCCCAGCGCGTATCACCTCTACATCACCCCCTCCCACATAGCTTGCAGCCGGCCCGGCTGTTAACCTACAACACAACATAACGCAACGCAGTAATAAAGAACTCCACATCCCAGTGTGCCCCGTAACACAACAACAACAACATAACACAACCTTAAATATGAAGCAATATACAGCCCGACGAACAACACAATAAAAGCGAACACCGTAAAACGAACGCGCCAAGTGTCACTGTGACCCACGCAGTGCCGAGGCGCTCCGGCTGCCTCGACTCCGCACGTGGTAGGTTACACAAAGTAGCGCGACCTAGCGCGAGTCCGTCTGGCCGGTCCGTCGTATGGAACGGGACGTTGGCGACCGTCCGGTGTCTCCGGCAGCTCTAGACGGCACGGGTCGGGCCTGGAAGGACCGGCCCCGCCGTGAAGATCCGGCCGCCGGTGGTCGGCAGCAGTCAGTTCCGAGACACCTGGGAGCGGATCAGGCGGAGACATGTGAGGAGCAGGCAAGGACAATTCCCCCTCAGGGTCGTCGGTCACGTCACATGCTCGGCCCTCACGACACAAGGGGAGGCCATACGGAGGCGAGAACGGTTTCAGTCGGGAGGGGTGGACGTACCAACGGCGTTTCCCCCATTTTATCTGAACGCACTGGGGGCGTGCCACCCGCACGACCTCCACGGGTCCCCGCCACGGCTTCAACAATTTAGGCGACGTGGCCAAAGGTGCCTGAGGGCAATGCAGCCAGGCCTTGTCACCTGGTTCCCAATTGTGCACGGACACCTTCCGTGCCCGCAACCGCTCGTTCGCAATTTGGCGAGCCCGCGAATTAAGCCGTGCGGCCTCCCTTGCCTCTGTCAGTTTATGAATATAAAATTTAATATGCTCTGCCAATTTAGAATTAGTTCGTGGTGCGGGCAGACCCAGCTGCGTTTCCATGGGCGGGTCGGCTTCCCGACCGTACATTAGAAAAAACGGGGAAAACCCCGTAGCTGCATGGGGGGCCATTCTATACGCGGCAAGGACCCCAGGGACCTGCAGGTCCCAATCAACATGCGACTCACACACCTGCTGGCACAGCATAGAGGTCAATGTCCTGTTAAGCCTCTCCACCATCCCGTCCGTCTGCGGGTGGTACGGGGAGGTACGCACCTTTTTGGTACCCAACAGGTCGCACACCTCCTGCAGTAATTTACTCGAAAAATTTTTCCCTTGGTCAGTCAGCAAGCGTTCGGGAGCCCCCTTGTCCAGGACGTAGCCCTGGACAAAGGCGTCCGTCACAGCCGCCGCCGACTGGTTGGCGAGTGGCCACGCCATAGGCCACCGGGTAAAATATTCGACCCCCACCAACAGGTACTTATTACCCCTAGGCGTGACCGGAAAGGGCCCCAGAATA